ACCAATTACTGAAGAAGTGGTGAAAGCAGTGGCACAGAATGAGGCACCCTATTCATATAAAATAATGGGGCTGCTTTTTAAATATCGAAACAATCTACCAATTACTGAAGAAGTGGTGAAAGCAGTGGCACAGAAAGATTAACCCTTTTCATATAAAACGATGGAGCTGCTATTGTTCAGATATCGAAACAATCTACTAGGGACTGCAAGTTGGTGACCATAGTGATATAGAACAAGGAAATCTATGTATCTTAAGTAATAAAGCTGCTTTATAAATTACCGAAGGAGTAGTACAAGTATTAATACAGAACAGGGGATCACAGGGACATAGAATGCTATATCTACTTTCCAAATATTAACTCAATCTACTAGTTACTAAAGGAGTGGTTAATGCAATTGCAAGGAATAATGGTACTCATGGAAAATATATCATGGGAGTGCTTTTTTACCATCAAGATCATATACTGATTGATGAAGAAATGGTCAAAGAAATGCAACAGCGAACAATACCTGATAGATGCGATAATGTTATGGGGATTGTTTTTAAGCAGCAGGAGATGATGAGGAAGCCAAGATGGAAACAGAAATTTGAAAGTAGGGCAAGGAAGTTTCAGGAGAAAGGGTTGTCAATTGTATCGACCAAGTACTGCAAGAAGTGAGCCAAATGCTCGTATCAATAGAGGGAAAAGTCGTGCAAGCCATCCAATATCCTCGCTCCAAATATCCATCTATTATTTTGACTGGTAACTTGACTTATTGCATTCGGATGGCTCGTACCCTGAGATCTAGGGACATGAGGTATTCGATCCAATACGCGGTTTGTACTGGAGGATGTACCCTTCTAGATGAAAGTCAAGTCGATTAGATATGAATATACAGGTAAGTCTATTAAGCAAACCTTCTCAACTAGAGAAGGATGGTTTCATATGAAATTGGCAAAAAGCACGATGGCACCACGCTTTTTCGGCTGAGAGCAGGTACAATGCCAAGCGGCATTGTCCCAGAGCATAGTACTATAACGAATAGCAGTTTAAACTATGAGGAAATTACACTGGGATGGTCGTCCTCTGGCAAAGTCAATCCAAGATACGAAATCATCTCCAGCCAAGTTCCACCAAGACTTCAAGAAAGACAGAACACGGGACCTATCTAATGTCCGGCTGATATGTATCACAGTCTTGAAGCCATTCTCGATGATCTTCTGGGCCGCTCGATCACCACGGAGCTCTGTGCCGGCAATGAAGAGCGGCCAGATGAGATCCTGGGTAAAACGTAATCCGTTCGGAGTCTGGAATAGCCGCTGTAGGTAATCTAGGATGTGGCCGCAAGCATCATTTTTATCTTTTTCAGTTGTTGATAGTTCTGAGAGTGCTTGGGTGCCGTAGATCAGCGTAGCATAGTAGTACATCCACACGACCAGCTGAAAGTCTCCGCGTTCAGAATCTGACCAATATTCGATGGTTTGGTTGACGCACAAGGAGTGGGACTTGGCCGACTCGATCTGTGCATAGATAGTTTGAACCTCAAAAGCCGCCGGTGGGGCCAGATTCGAAGCCCGAGAACGGCTCTTGACGCGCTCTATTTTGGTGATGTGATGGATGATGCGAACGAAGTCCGCCAGCACAGCATCTTCGTTACTGGTAGGCGCATCCACTAAGATATCGTCAACTTGGCTGAAAGTCGTCAGGTGTGTCCACACGGAAGTTGAATAGAACTCTTGTAGGAGAAATCTTTGGACGCGGAAGAGCGGATGCTGAAGGCTCGAGTGATTGGCTCCAGCTGAGATGATCTCGCGGGCCGCAAGCAGATGAATACGCCACTCTGATGTTTGCGCCTTCAGCAGATCGCTGTTGCAGAGTATTAACACAGATCCCAAAGTCAGAGAAAAGGTTGTGGTTGAACCAGTCTGGGAGGAGGACAAGCAAGACAGGTTCCCCAACTCCTGTGCCAAAAGAGCCAGGGCATTATTTAAGTGAGTATCTGAGATATTTCTGAACCGTTCATACCAGGGATCATTCACCGGGTATTGAGAGGCCAGATCATGCGCCGCCAGGGCGAGGATAGAAAAGAAAATGGTCTCCGAACTTTCAGCGAGAGGAAGAATAAGCTGACGCCAAGGGTTCTGTGGTCCATTGATCCACGCCAGCCTATGTGCCACATTCTCTCTGAACCAGGCGAACAATCGTAACGATTCGGGAGACCGCGGTCCTGATAAGTAGAGACTATATGATGGCGCTGTCAACCGATCCTCATAGGATGGTTTTGGCACCAATGGAGCATCGCACATGGGCAGTGACCTCCCAGTAAGCTTGCCTCGACTGGCGACTCCTTGGTCCCATTTCAACCGCATTGCATATCCGGGACATTCGAGGCTACGTTTCGCGCATTTCTTACATCCTGGCAAACTGAGATCACACTTGATACGTCGCCTTCGACAAGTTGAGCAGCCTAGAGGTAATTATAAGCACAGGATTCCTGAATCGTCAATCAAAGATACCTTTGAGAGGTGTACGCAAGGGTGGGTGCTCCGACATGTCCTAAGCGAGGGTGGATCTATCTGTTCACTGCAACACATCAAAGTTTGGTGGTGGAATTTCTCCTGTTCCTCACGACTTATTAATCACGTATGATGAAATCTCGTCGGTTGGCCCCACTATTCTAAGCCCAAATAGGATGCTTGATAGAGATTTTGATATGCGAGTCACTGAAGTGCAGTCTCATTGGCGCATGCTCTAGTTTATGTGGGCCCCGTAGCGGCGATCTGGAGAAAAGTAGCGTGATCTCATGTGACGATTTTATAGAGTATAAAATCCTGGCTTTTTAGAACAGGAACGGCTTTTTTGGTCTGACTTCTGATTGTTCGTTATCCCTGGTCCTGATCGCCAATTTCTTTTCTTCCAAACAAAGCTATGACAATGCCTCTAACGGTGTCACTGACAGCGCCAAATGGTCGCAAGATAGAACTGCCAACCGGACTCTTCATTAACAATGAATGGGTCATGGCCACGAAGAAAGGGACTATCACAAGTATTAACCCAGCGTAAGTAATCTGAACTCCTATTATATAGCAACAAAGGTCATTGACCTAGAGCATGCAGGAATGAGACAGAAATTGCATTTGTCCAAGCCGCTACGGCCGAGGATGTCGACATCGCTGTAAACGCAGCTCGAGCTGCTCTCGGGCAACCTGCTTGGGCAGACATGCACTCCTCAACAAGGGGAGAGCTTCTTCGAAAATTAAGCGATCTCGTTGAAGAGAACATCGAAGACCTAGCAACACTCGAAACGTGGGACGGTGGAAAGCCATATCTGGTCTCGCTGAATGAGGATCTGCCGGAAGTGGTCAGTTGTCTTCGATATTTTGCGGGGTTCGCCGACAAAATCCATGGCCAGGTTATTGAGGGTGGTGCGATCAAATTTGCCTACACAGTACGAGAGCCGATTGGCGTTTGTGGGCAGATAATCCCGTGGAATTATCCCCTGATGATGGTGGCTTGGAAGCTAGGACCGGCATTGGCTGTAGGAACCACCTCTGAAGACGTACTTGGTACTTTCTGCTGATTGATTCATGCACAGTGCGGAAATACCGTTGTTTTGAAACCTTCTGAACTTACCCCCCTCAGCATTCTATATTTTGCGAACTTGATAAGGAAGGCCGGCTTTCCTCCGGGCGTCATCAATATTCTCAACGGCTGCGGGCACGAGGCAGGAACGGCGATCGCGAACCACCAGGGGATCGATAAGATTGCCTTCACAGGAAGCACGGCTACTGGACAAAGCGTGATGAAAATGGCGGCATCAAACTTGAAAAACATTACGCTGGAGACCGGTGGCAAATCTCCGTTACTTGTGTTTAACGACGCAGATCTTGACCAAACAGTGAAATGGGCACACGTTGGTATCATGAGCAATCAGGGCCAGATTTGCTCCGGTACCAGTCGCATTCTAGTAGAGAAAGGTGTGTACGAGCAGTTCATCGCAGCGTTTAAGGGATACACAAAAAAGGCAAGCAAAGTCGGCGATCCGTTTCGTGATGATATAAACCAAGGGCCGCAAATCTCGAAGATTCAATATGACAGAGTGCTATCATACATTGATTCTGGTGTCAAGCAAGGCGCTCGTCTAGTGCTCGGTGGAGCACCAGCGAATGAGAAAGCTCCGGGCTTCTTCATCCTTCCGACAATCTTCGCCGACGTCACAGATGATATGACAATCTCTCAGGAGGAGATTTTCGGACCCGTGGTTGTCATTTCAGCATTCGAGACTGAAGAAGAGGCCATTAAAAAGGCAAACAATTCACCATATGGCCTTGGATGTGCAATCTTCACGCAAAACCTTGAACGAAGCCATAGATTGGCCCGAAAGATGGAAAGTGGGACGGTATGGATCAATAGCAGCAATGACAGTGACTCACGAACTCCATTCGGGGGTGTCAAGCAGAGTGGAATTGGGCGCGAACTTGGTGAAGCTGGACTGGCGGCATATTCTAGCATCAAGTCTGTCCATGTCAACATAGGCGCGAAGTTGTAACAAGCTGTACAAATCTTGCCACCGTGCCATGAATGCAAGAGCGATGATTGCTTGGTTGTATCAAGAGGTAAATTGAACAGGATTAAATTGGCAGAACAAGGTATGTTTTACACGACATTATGGGGCATGCTATTTGCCGTGAAACATTCAAGAATAATGAAGAAATCCAATACAACTAAGAATTAAGCTGCCCAATCTTAAACGTGACGTACGCAAGCGGGCTCCATCAAGAAACGGCATATGCACTCTGGATACCAGCTCGACCAACTGTATATTACTGCAAGAAGTAAGGCTACAGACACACAAATTAGATTCCGATGTAGAAAACAGAATAGGTATATACAGGGTCTCATGCAAGGTACCGCGAATTTAGTTCCCACGTCGTATTGTAGATATATTTTAAATATATAGCTATTACAATAGCAAGAAGAACATGCCAGGAATTCGATATAATATCTAGTAATAGTCTATTCTACTATTCCTGTATACCGCCTGTAATTATCTCTTTCAGCTGACCTCTGCTCGAATATGCTTTGATTTGAACATATAGAGCGTGTCACACTTTAGGTTTCAATCTATCCATTTCTAAACACTCAATACTCCCACTCCGGGTACATTGGGCCACCTGCCCTTCGCGGTACAGCCAAAGTTGTGGGGGATGCGAGTACTTTTATTCTTACGTTTGTTCTAATCTGTAATCAGGTCGATCGTATCAAGCGGAACAATCTTGGTGCCCTTCCCAGATTTTCAGCCCAAAAACATGGCTACCATGACCAAGATCTCAACATAGTACGACACGAAGCTGACCCCATCGAAGTTTAGACTAAAGCACGACCAGCCCTAGATAAGGATGATCTAGGTATCCCGGCCGACTGCTGGTATATCATTTACTATTCTACCTGCCCGCGAAGCGGCTTGTGGTGTACAGAATGGGAAATCTTCGCCTGCGATGGATCTTTTGCCTTTGGCCTTCACACTTGTTTCCCAGTTAGATTGTGCCGGGTTTGCAGGCATTTGAAACTAGCATCGAACATTCCAATATCTACTTGCAAGCATTGCAGGGTTGGCATACTACAGAACGTATTGTAGCTAACATCGAATGTTCTATGAGTGGGTACGTATGCCTGTGTAACCACTATAAGCATGTGTCCCAGCAAATACCTTCGCTGAGACGATGGAAATGAAATGTGCCTACGTAGATTGACCTCTTTCAGCGTTTAGATACAGTGTGATCGCAATGCATTAGTAGTAGAAATGGGGAGTAAACACGGACCCGTCTCGGTTGAGGCTGTGACATGTTTTCAGGATGTCCAGCTAGCTACATACTCCATGGACTGAGTTGAGGCAAGATCAACGCAATGGCTTTGTATTTGGAAATCCTTAGAAGTGGGATGATTCTCCGCGCGATGGCATTGGATATGACTGACTCTTATCATATTGTCTTAATGTCTATCGACACCGATTTGTCAAGCGATGTGAGCTCGTATCCGAACGGGAATTGGTCACCGACTATAAAATCATTACTGCTACTGCGGCATTGTCGGCGTGATTTCTCACAGCTGAACTGTGGATGTCTTGCAGAGATATCACAAACCAGGCTGCTTATAACGAGTTGACTTGTTGAAAATAGTGTGATACGTCATAGCCATCATGGCGAGCAACCATTTGTTTCAACCTTACGTTTTAATGATGTGTTGATGCATGCCCACATGTAACCTTGCAGAGTAAACCTTGAGAGAAAATAGTACTTATGCAAAGGGTATTAAACCCGTGCCAACTGAGTGGTAGGCAGAGTTGGCATTGCTTGGCTATATGCACATGTAGGGCTAATGCCTTTCCTGCCTTTGGTGTGCAGAATTTGGTCCTTCTGCATACCTCCACTGCACGTTCTGGAGGGTATCATATAGTACGTAATCCGGTAGTTAAAGATGTGGGTCCAGCGGTAGCGGGATGGCTCGGGCCTTTCACCCGCCGCCATATAGACCCACTCGATGAACCATGCCTTTACAATGTTCTCTCGGCCGGTCTCTACTAAATGAATCAGTACCACGGGATTAGCGAATGGAGATCAGGCAAAGTAAATCGGCAAGATATCAGATTGGCTCAGCATGGCTTGAGAAAATCTTGGTTCCTACTACAACTCTAATGTAGGCAAAACTGCACAGCGCTCTGGTCCTGGCAGCTATATGTTGTACGGGGATGTCCGGTGAAGGTGACCTATCCCCTTACATTATACTTTGCCGACTTAGTCAGTTCTTCATACCGGCTGAGGTGACAAGAAGGTCAGGCACCAGAGCCAACAAATGCAACCGCTTCACATCATACATGTCCGAACTCCCGGCTGGCCCCGCCGCGTCTTCGGTATTTGGCTCACTCATTCTCCTGAGGCTTTTCAGAAGTACACTGACTATTTAGCCCCCTTCCGTCAAGCAAACCAGGATAACCAGTACTCACAGGGACAAAAAAGGTGCCCCCTGTTAACATATAATCGACGCGGCCACGACCAAGCTGCAGATGACTTCACAGGTTATGGAGACTACTACGGTGCAGTATCAGAAGGCCAGCGCGAATCTCGCTCAAGTCCAGCAGAAAATGGGCAAGATCCAGGGCGAACTCACCGGCCTCAAGGCCACCAACATCAACCTGGTATACCATCCGAGATTATCTATCAGGTCAATCAGTTAATACACCTGTTAAAGGATCAAATCAAATCCATACTGGTCAAGTCCATAGAGATTCTCGTGCAACTTAAGTCTCAGATCAACGGCCTGGTCGCCTTCTTCGTAGCCGTCAGCACGCTCGTCGACCACGCCATTGATAACCAAGTCACCCCCTTTCTCGACTATCTCAGGGCCTCGACAGGCGCTAAGGAGCCTTCCTTCCTGAACTTTTCTTTCACTGATTTTCAGCAGCAAATAATCTTCGACTACGCCCTCAGTATCAGGGCGTTCTTTGACCTGTTCCGGGACATCGCGCACATGTACCAAGGCGTGGGCAATCGGCTCATCAGGAATGGGCTCGATGTGGTTAATAACTTGCAGACGGAGTATAATAGCACCGCTGATCCGAAAGAGCAGCAGAAGGTCAGTTGTCTTTCAACTTCCCGCTCCTCAATCACGGACAAGTGCTGACACAAGTCATAGATTCTAGAAAAGAGAAACAAGGAATTAGCGACTTCAGCACCAGCTCCATCGAAGGAGTTAAAAAGCTTGTTCAATCGGTAAGCTGTCCTCAGGCCGCCTCAAGCTCTCTCCCTCCATACCATTGTGCATTGCCTCTCAGCTACCACAGAGGCAACAAGATATAACCGAAATCCTTGCGTCCAACGCCGCAGATGCGGCCAACTCATTGGAATTTGTGCCCGTCAGGCCCGCAAAGCCAGTGGCAAAGGCCATCACGGACTCAACCGATGCCTCTCAGCAGGCGGTCGAGAATGGAATCTCCCAGTCGAACAAGTACATTACTCGCCCGCTCAGCGACACTTCATCTTTGGTAGGTACTCACTTTTCTTGCCTGTGTTGACATGTTAATAGACGGAAGCAATGCTAACCGGAGTGATGCTCCATGTTGACGACGCGTAACACCGATCAGCAGGAAACCATTCATGGCTATCGGGTTAGTGATGGTAACCGTTCTGCTACTCACCCACCTAATGGGGTATCCCAGTCTATTTGCTCATATTTAGATAGCCGGTCAGAGTTGCATAGCGGAAATGAATCAAAATCATATGTTGGTAAATACTGCCATCTTGGTGTCATATCTCGAAAAGCCTCGCCAGCAATGATCTAATGAAGCCTGTTGTTCACGCAGTCAGTTTCGCATGCTACAGAGACACAAGCTATTCCAGGAGTCGTACACACTTTTGATATAGATAAGATAAGGCTCAATTGTAATTTCCGAGTTGCAAAAGAGAGGAGGAAGGGGGATTAATAGATGGATTGGACGACTAAGCCCGGATCGACTGAGTATGGAATATAGCAAGTAGAGCTGGGAGGAGAAGAAGTTGGGAGGGAAGGATTCTTATACAGGGGAGGTTACAGTTAAAGTACTTCTTTATATAAGCTATAGCCATAGTCTATAAGAGCAGTATCATAGCTAAAACTACTATCATATCTACAATTAATATTATACAGAATTGAATAATATTCCAGAAAGCAAGAGCGTTATCTAAACATCACTGTATTGGATTTGAAAACTAGTTGCTGAACGGGCAGTCAATGGGATAAGCTGCCCTCGCATGTACTTCATATTGGTAGAAATTAACTTAACAACAGGAGAGAAAAAGAGAAGCCGCACAGTCCGCAGTAATAGTGCTAAGTATATCCAATCTGAGTAGATGAAATCTCACTCTTGCCACTGGATCCGCCCGCTGCGGAACAAACTCACCATCCCGATAGGCAACAGCCCAGGATCTACAATGTTAAACCCACCAAAGCGATCGATAATCTCCTGTCCATACAACTGGGTCACCCATTTCCAATAAGCATCCATGTCTCTCCAGTTGCGTTGAATTCCTCTCACGTTCTGATGTCCGGAAAGTTGTTTCAGCTCCCGGAAGACGGCACCGGTCCGATCACATTCAATATACTGCTGCCTCGGGCGTTGTAGAAGCGTGTCATACACCTCCTTTAGCTCGCCAGTGTATCCATAGCCGAGTAGCTCACGGTACCGGATGTATTCCTCGAAGGACATAAATGTGTGTGCGTCTGCTGGGACAAATCCCTGGTTATGCGCGGTTATATGTTGGTTGTTGTTGAGGCGCTTCTCGTAGCGCAATTTAGCCGCGGCGTACGCATCCCGTTCGTTGTCCAAGAATTTATCCAAAACAGTAGTCGGATCACTGAGGACAGAGTCACGTAGGCCTACCAGGTGAATGAAGGGACTGGACAGCTCGAGACCGCCAAGCTCGATCGGGAGGAAAAAGTAACCGTCCGGGACAGAGGCGACGTTGAAGCGAGAGCAGATTATATCCCGGAGGAACTGGATTACACTCACGTCACTTTTGCCACCTTCTGCATCAAGGGAAAACACTCTACGCTGGATTCGTTCATGAGTGGCGAGCATCATATCAACATGCTGACGGCCGAAGCAGTTGGCAGGCTTGCCGAAGTTGGACGTGAAGAAAGTTGTAGCATACGAGTTCCATGCCTGAATCCAACCAAATACGCTCTTGACTTGCTCTTTTAACTGCCGGTTCAAATCCTCAACATGACTGTCGACCATTTGCTGGTCGATTTCAAAACGCCCCGACTCGGGGTTGAGGTATAGCATGCCCCATCTGATTTGCCCGGCAGGTAAGGCTGGATCGAGGCCAGTCGAGCTTGTTGTGTCTTTGTGCACGATATGGGCACTGCCGGTCTTAGCGGGATCTAGAGTAATTCCCATTGTCTTATTGAATCTTTGGATCGCATTCCATGTGGCCACACAGGTCTGATGGTTTGATGACCAGAACCAGAAATCATCGTGAACTCGCCAGAGGAGCTCACCCTCGGTCCTCTGATTGATCATAAAGTCGAGGCAGAAGAGAATGGTCTCTCCAAACACGTCGCTGAGGACATGGGCGCCAGGAGTACCTCGCTGACGCTGACGAGGCTCAGCGTGAGGGTCGTCGATGAACTTTAGTGGTGCTTTCAAGAAGCGCTGGAAAAATCCTAGCCATTTCTCGGAAACACCAAAAAGTTCCAAAACTGCATGAATAGCTGTATGAGATAGATTGGGGTTGAGAGATTCATATTTGGAACGAAAGCAGGTCAACCCTCCCTCAAGTCGAGTCTTGATCAAAATGTCAGTGGTTAAAAGATGCAAAAGGTTTTGCTTGGCCTCTATTGGATTTTTAGGGTTGAGAATCTCGTTCCCGTCGTCTTCATCAGCATCACCATCGGTGTCATCATCGTCATCATCTTCATCATCATCGTCATCAATCCCCGCTTCCTCTTCATAGAAGTTTGTCGCCCCAAAAGCGCGTCTCTTCATGCGCGATGTTATTTGCGCTCTCTGCATTGTGCGCTTCCTGGCAGGGAGTGGAGGTCGTTGTGCAGGAGCAAACTGCGCAAAGTCCGCCTCTTCCTCTCCTTGGGTTATGCTTCGGTCTTGCTGTTCATAGTCCAGAAGCTGAGAGACAAAATACCCCTTGTGATATATTTGCTCTCGTGTGGTTTGCACGGCGCCCTTGGATGATCCGTGACCTAGGAAGAACTCGCGACGGCTCTTGTCCATTGCTGGGATGTTATCTGTCGGCGATTTCCAAACCCCGCTAGTCTTTCTGAACTCCGTAAAGGCATCCTTAAAGACAACAGACCATTTAACACCGAGATATTGCAAGAAGATGGCCTGGATCAGATCCTCGTGCATGTAGATGTTATAAGTTCCATTCAGTTGGCGCCGCTGCTCTACGGGAACTTCTGTACCCCAGGACCAAGCGTCCAAGGCCATCATGCGCATATTCAGCACGTCGGAGAGCTCATCCAGAATAATCTCGTTATTTAAGAAGTCTTTTAGCACCGTCCGTTTTTCTTCCGTCAGAAGGTCGGACGCAATCAGGCCAGAGATCGTCCATCGTAGTGTTCTCACAGAAATTTGACGAGAGTATGCCAAGGATTCCTCAAGACGTTGCACTTTGCTTCGGAGTCCTTCAAAAGCTATTCGTACATCTTTGGCATTTTTCGACGGGCTATGGAAGAGCTCGCTCAGTAGAAGTTTAATTCCATCCGTGTCGAGTTCAAGCGGCGTGAAGACGACATCTTCCCATTGTTTTCTGGATTCCAACTTCTCGGCGCCCGGAATCTGCTCTGGCTCTTCAGACATGGATACATCGTCATCTGGTAGGGGACTCTTCTTAGTCGACAGCCACTCCATGGTCAGCTGGCCAAAAAGTGTGGCAAACTCATATTTACGGGTTTGCATATCAAGATTGCTGAGTAGAGACTGTTGCCATCGTTCCATCGTAGATGGTGAGATAGAGGGGTCATACTGCACCTGTTTGAGAAACCGATCTATATTTGCCAGCGTAATCTCCAGGCGCCGATGGTTGCTGGTAAGCCCACGGATCATGCGGCCGTTCACCACTGGGATGCCGAAGCACGTCTTGAGACCATCGGATAAAGCCGACAATCTCTCGATGGGAGAGTCTAACGCCTGCGCGGTCTGTAGGGTCGTGGCCTTGTGGTCGAGGAATATCTCTTGCTTTCTGGAAAGCTCGCCCAGCTTGGCATGCGTAATGTCCTGCAGCGTTTGAGAGAGCTGACTCGTAGCAGATGCCATGGTTACGTGTTGCCTGGTGTTTCCCTCTGACATGAGTTATCAAACGGATGGAGAGTTGCATGAGGGATGGCAGTTCTTTTATACCTCGAGGCGAAATCTGAGCTTAGTCATGATGGCTGCCTGATGTTACTCCAGTTGGTTACCTAGCCGCGGGGTATACAAATAACATTCATTAAATGGAACCCATGTACTAGTAGTCCCAGAGACAGTAGCGGGTATTTTGAAAATCAGCAGAAATCGGTCCGGTGAAAGAAAAGGCAAGGTATTTCTTTGTTCTGTGGTCTGTAAAAAGCCTTAACATATACTGTCTCGTAGAGAGCCATATTTTGAAGTGACTCTAGCGTAATCAGGACGTTAGCTTTCCCATAGTACTAGTAGTGATCATTGCCCCACCAATGCCTTGCTATCAACCTTCCTTCTTCGTTATCTTGGGTATTAAAAGTTGTCGTAAAGTCAATTTGCTGCGTAAGCTCGAGCCCGTGGGTAACAAGACGCTGATCCAACCTGTGATGAAGTTGAATACGCCAGCTGGGATTCCGACGAGCATTGTCTTGTATGTAGAATAGTCGAATCCATGTATGACAGAGGAATTACACTTTGAAGAGAAGAACTCCTCGTTACTCATTTACGGGTAATATATGTGGGCGGCAGGATTACTACTACCTTAAGTATTGGGGTCGGCAGGATGATGCATGCAGCTATTATATATCACGTTGTGCTCCTCCGGAATTTATCAGATTTCCCTTGATCTATTGCTTTCGTCTGGAATGTCGACAAAGAGCCATAGAAATGGAAAGGGAATCTGCAGCAGCTGTGATATTTCCATTCCGTGGGGAGGATGATCCAGAAATATATCCAGCCCATGCTGCTTTGCGGAAACTGGCTGCTAGTCTTACGGTACTACATATACACTGAGCTGCTATTATCAAACGACAGGCTTAGACGCCGTCTGACAATGGGCGTGGCGGTCCAAACTCAGAACTGCAATCTCGTACCAAAGTTTGCCATTACTGTATTACCTCAGTGGTGGAGCGGTGCGAATGCCCGTCGAATGTTCCTTGTATCCGAGTAGCACGATATTGTCGTCAATTGCCACTGTGCATTCACTAAGAAGAGGCTTACCGTAAGTTCAAGAGACGCAGGAAAGTTCTTAATATGGCCAACATGAGTTTTAATTAATTATTAATTCTTAAACACAGATAGCCAATCCGCATACTACAGACGCTAGTCACTCCTGTCGAAGGGCAGCTGTCCTGGTATTAGGCCCGATGCTTGAGGATAGGTTGAAATCGGTGAGTAGCATAGCCATTTGTATAACCGTGGACTTCTTAGGTATGTACGTACACACTCAGCTCGTCGAGCCACTGCATCTCTAAAATACAAAGAGGGATGTAGGTACAAGGGTCGCACATGCTAGGTCAATTAACGCTTCTGTGGGTATTTCAAAGGAGAGAGGGAGTAGATACTCCAGAAAGCATCTATTATTGTCGGTCTCTGGAACCGTCAGGTAGTTCATAGACTGGTGGTGCAGCGTCAAGTTCCTGACCTGCGTGCCCCGGGACTTGGATGTATGGTCAACTGTCCGCATACCCGAAGCGCCTGGGACACCTGTCGGAGACACCACGTTCTCCACTTTGCTGCGGCGTGCGAGAAACCAAACCAAGGCAGCGAGAATGGCTGCTCCGGCTACCCCACCAACAACACCGCCTGCAATGGCCCCGGTATTCGTACTGGATAACTGCGGAGAGGGTTCAGGGGTGTGGGATGCCGTAGGCTCTGCGGTATTTGTAGTCGAGGTACTTGAGGTAGTGGAAACAGTCGAGAAAAGATGATCGAGTGGCCAAAGACATGACAGTCGAAGAAGCTACCTGTTTGTTAGTGACCAAAGCTAATAGAAAACAAGACTCGTTGCAACAAGATAGAATAGAGCAATGCAATCATACCTGTTCCAGATCTCATCACTGTTAAGGTGCTAAGCCAATCCTTCGAAGGATAATCAGACATTACACAGCCGACATATCCATCTGGAACGTTGTTTCCAGCCTTCACTGCCTTGACAGTGAATTCCCCTTGGTCACAGCCAAAAAAGTAAATCGTGTGGAAGAGGTTCCAGGTACCGTTCGCGCATTGCTCTGGGACATTTCCAACGTGCGATTTCCGGCATGTATTCTCTCCAACCAAGCAGAATGAGTCGGGGGGCAACATGCAACGAAATCGTCTTACATTTTGCCGCAATCCGTTTCGTAGTCCTTGCAGGACTTCTCCCGCTGGAGAGAACAGCCTTCAGACATCTTATGCCAAATGTATACTCCGGTGGAGCATTACTATAACGTGTTGTGAACCGTGAATACTCCGGAGTACAGGGCAAGGGGCAACCATTTTTCGGACTCAAATCTAGCGCAGTAATCTACCGGGGTAGGGGGACGAGGTGAGGCCCACGGGGACTTTGCTTCTTAGCGAATCAATTGCGGCATTAGCCACTGGGTACCATCGCTTCAAGCCATACAGGATGGATATAATAACCTATACTATTTCGAGCCTTAGGGCTGCCAAGAAATGACACAGCCTCGGCTTTGGCAAGGATCAGACCCTGGATGTGGGCAAGCGGCGTATGAGTCAGTCAGGGAGCCACCGGGGGTTGATCCCACCGGTTTCCCCGGCGCCAACGCCGGCTTGTGAGGTCCAACCCATGGCGTGCTAAACAGGTCGATCTACGATCCATCCATAAGCTACTGTGTACCAATATCGCATGAGTGGTATGTCGGAGCGGCGCATTTCATATCCTTTTGGGATACCTTGCGTAGATTCTGGCGATCAGCTTGGTTTTTGCTTTGCGAGGCAAGTCCTGAGGCCGCTCTAAACATCTCCCTTATACTGACCATTGTCTACTCCACGAGCAGGTTCAAAAGAGATGGGGAATCGCCCACAACAGCCAAAGTGGCTACAGAGACCCGAAACCGACTATGAGCGATGGCTTCGCGAGCAAGACGAGCACTTCAAGCCAGCGGACCGTCCATTCTACGGACCGACCATGGAAGGCACCAACGACCTCGATGATAGTGAAACACACAAAGATAGGGATAAGTCATTGCTGAACGGTCAGCAAGAACCCACGCATCATGGCCATTTTGTAGGACAACAGAACACGCCCATTGTATCCTCTACACATCAACCCGCTCGTCTCAGAAGTTATTCGATTATATGCAGTTTATTGCTGTCCATCCTTCTTACTCTTGCCATTATAAAGTTAGCCCAAGCGTTTCGAAGAAGAGTCCGTCGAGGAGGTGCTATTCTGCTATCTGAGAATCCTGGGAATAGGTGAAAATCGTGAAGGCTCACCTCACGATACACCGCGCTCGGATTGTAGTGACTGTCGGACATGCCACCAAGCCATGTTACCCACGACACGAGAATGCATATGTTGAGAACAGTAGAATAATGTAAAATTGACGCAAGTCACATTCTCAGGTCTATCGAAGGGTTTTATTTCTCATGTCATTTCCTTGGGCTAGTTCACTTTTTCTGGCATTGATTGGTCCAGATGTCCACGTATCATGCTCCAATGGGTCCCGAGTGTTGTGAATCTCCATCGAAGCCTCGCAAGGGCTTAATCTGACTTCAAATGCTCTTGAAATTTGGTCAGGATAGACCTAGGCACTTGGCAAGGCTTGGTCATGTGAGATAATACTGGGTGGGGAATACTACTACTACTAGTCCATAGACAAAGGATTTAGCGCCCCGACCCACGCCGTCGCCGAATGTAACTTCATGCAGGGATTCCTTTAGCGTCGTATCGATCTTCGAATAAGATGAAATAAGAGTTGGGACAGAGACCAGGGTTGGGAAGTAGGGATTGGACGGCAAAAATGGCTCCCTGAGACCTGCTGGGACGATGACGTCAAAGAATGTGTCGTGTTGCAGCGTCAGCTGACGATCGTTGTACGTGTTCCCTCGACCATCAGGTATAGCCATATCGTCGAGGTGTCATTCGCTTCATTCCCGAAGAACACCGTGCTGGTGGGGTGGGCTGTTGGCTGAAGAATCTTCATCCTCGCCGAGGCGAACCCGGAACTTCCAGACTCAGCCGCCCGACAGGCAGAGTAAGCCTGTCACGGAGGTGAAAGTAATAGACGGAGTTAGCAGGGGTACTTATATAGGTGCGTCTTATTAGGAGCCCCATCAGGGTGGGGGCGAACCCTTCTTTCGAAATTTTTAGCCTGGCCTGTAACAAGGCCCAACGGGAAGGAAGGACACCGCGCTAAGATGAAACTCCGAATCATCCGCGAGGCTCGCCATATTAGTTGGCGCTGAGCCCCATAGCCCATCTGTCAACTAATTTAACAGTCCACCCAGCCCTCCACCGGCAAGGCTAACCTATGTTACCTATCCCGGCTGTTCCAGCTCTTTTGATCGCCGGCGCGAGCAACTTCTGAGGTAAAACGATAGTAGATACCCTCCTCCCGTCGCCCGAGTTAGGGTGAGATCAATGCGGGATTATATATCGTCTACGTTTGCCCTCTCCGGATGAAATAGAGCGGCGAGGCCTAAGAAACACACACTACTGAGCACGAGTATGTACGAAAGCCCCGGTTACATAACAAGCCTAATAGTAGCAGCAGAAAGCACAGACCCACCGGGACACAGACAGTGTCAGTCCAAATGGCTCGAGTTCTCGGCAAAAGGTCACGGTCCGTGCAGCAGTGGAGGCCGCAGACCGACTATGAGCGATGGCTCGAAGAACACAATGAAAACTACCAGCCTGGGCAGGATCCAGAGTATCATCCATCTAATCCGGGCTTGAATGGCCAAGTTCCTCTCTACCACCATGAAATAGACGACAGTCCGCGTCAAATGGCTGATAGTGCACACCCGACACATTCCGATATCACGCATCTCCAATCGTATAAAGTTCATGGCGAATTCTTGCGCCGGCCGGGTGCTGGGCCGCCTTCCCCTCTAGGAGACGCTTTAGCCGACAGTTTTCGGGGGCATTGCCTATATCAGTTGGCCCTATTTTTTGCTGTGGTTATCGCTCTCCGACAGATTGCAAAGAGCCTGGAAAAGCGACGTCGTCGTGCAACTGCTCCTTCAACGCCTGAACCCACACAGTTTACTAATCGGCACAGCGATGAAAAACTTCCGGTATAAGTTGCGATGGTACAGAGATGGAGCGGGACAACTATGATCGCTGCGGGAACCTGACTCTCTGATTCTTGTGTCTTATCTATCGTTGCTCCATGACATCTGTACGTTACTCTGATATCCTGTGGCCTCCCTGTTATCATATAAGTAGCCCGCGGTCATAGTGTGTTAGACAGGAGAAAAAGAAGAAAAAAAGGGGGGAGGAAGGAAAGCGAAAGCAAGAGTTGTACAGCACAGTCCCGCCGGGATGCCTGCACCAGACGGCGCGCACGAAGCCTCCTCCCGTGCTATTACCATTAATCCTATAATGGGAGATGGATGTACGGAGTACGGATGACACCTTCTCTCTACTCTCAGAGACTGAGCTTCGCCCCCGGCCCGTGCCGGACTAATGTAGGTCTAATATGATCCGTCGTTGCCGCAGTCATCTTACAGGAAACCAATCATGTAGAGAGGCGTCATTTCGCAGAATTGGCCCGATGTAACTCTACCATGCTCTACCGTATACTCTATGCGTCGATCCCAATTTCGGTCTCAATAGGGATTCACAATGACCACGGACATGGTTGGTGTGTGGAGATAGGCTAGTATAGGGCTAAGGCCCTCCGCTGTTGTTGGCCTTGGGCTAAGTGGATACGTGCTAAGATAAACCCTGCATAAGTCAAACAGTTGGTGTCGATCAACCAGGCAAAGGATTGAGACCCTATCCCTGATCATATGATACAGTCTGGATGGTCGATCCGTATCGCCTAATTAACCAGCCTTGCCCTCACAGGAGATTCTTTCCTAATCCTCCATGCAGTAGTTCATCCATATACAGGTGAGCTGAACAGTATGATGAGAGACCTTTTAGCTGGTTGCGAGGTATTTATCTTGGTCTTTTGTCGAAGAGATGGGATGGAATAACTTACCGCTCAAGACACCAACTGCCCCCAATGGTTGTATCTATCCGTCATAGTAATACAGATAACGCTCTCGGCTATCGAATATGTGGCAGTATTATTACTTTCGACGACCCCTAGTAGATATGTATTGCAGCATCTTCGAGCTGTTGCCGTCGGACGACGAACCATGGACTAGTGTTTCTCGGGACAGACTGGAAGCACCAGTTGTGGTCGCTTGAATTCTTCAGTCGTGAACTAAAGCATATCTAACGCATTGGTGGGCGAGATCGGCACGAACAATTATCCAAGGAGTTCAATGCTGACGCAGTGGGAGGCAAACTGACTAAGCTTCAGCTCAATATTAATCTAGAAATATGCCAGGACCCTACTTAGTTCTTTCTGTCTATCAATTCCTTTCACTATAACTGCCCACCGCGAAAGGATGACTCCCACCGTGGACACCCCCAAATCGTCTCTACTAGAGCAGTTAAACTCTCCACCAAAAGCATCGTTACAAATCCTCGGGACGCATAGTACGAACGAACAGACCGAAGGTATTGATTTTGATCTCTGGATCGACTGTTCGAAGGTAGTTGGAATCAGATCTGGACAATTCCTGACGGAGAGTGAAAGTGATTGCCGGTCCTGGAATCACTCCGCCAACAGCTGCAACTTCGAGGCGATATTGGATGGCTGGCTTAATGAATGCTTGGGAGATAGTAATGACGGGCGATCGTATGTTTCCCAGCCCAATATCTCTTACAATGCTAATAGATCCCCGGGTTCCAGCTGGGCGCTTTGTAAATTGGCTTCTTTCCCCGATGACGATTGCGCGGAGATGAAAGCTCACATAGAGAGGCTGGCACGCAACACTGCCTACGATGGGTCTGTTGAGGTAGTGTTTCACACTCCATCCATAGAGGCAGATGCCTTGCCCGAGAAACACAAGGTGCAAATTCGAGCGGAGTGGAGTTTCGATTGTCCTTTTACTCCCACAGATCAGGTATGGAACGAGTTGGTTATGAACGCAATGGTCGACCGCAAGAAGGGCTGGGTCTCTCCGAATGAGCCACAGCTACCCTACGGAATGTCTCCATTCCGAAGGGCTATCAGACATGGTAATAATTCCAGGATTGTATCGCAGGAGCAGGATGCGAATGGGTTTACGCGCTCAGTACGGCAATTCTCACGATGGGGCTGTGACGGTTCATCCTGAAACAGCGTTTATACCAATATGGACTAACGGTTTGCGTTCACGCTTGTCGCTCTGTTGTTATTGTCGCACAGTGTGTCTGCTTTCATCGATGTTAAGGGACTGTATGGGGTGTTATGGAATTGGATGTTGTTAAGCTCCGTGCGCGTAACCAGAACAACCGGTTCACGGCAAGCACCAGGGGAAAGAAAGCAGAAGCTTTTGGTGAAAATCACAAGTAATTCGTAGTTAGTTAATGGATAGTTAGTAAGTGTACTATTGGTCATCGGCGTAGGTGTGTGCGCAACTAAGATGCCCTCACCCAATGAGCTTCGGAATCATGGTTTAGTGATTGCAGCCTTGTATTTAGCCTCCGGTAGAGAGATTGGGCTAAAAACACCACGTTGCCTTCCCCCCAAAAAGTTGCAGCCACCCCTCATATTTATTCTTACTCCTGGCCTACACGCACTTGGCTCATGCTAGGACAAAGCAGATCATTCATCCAGCATTCCAGTTGGCTATCTCCGAAAGAGCATAGGCCATGCTACTAGCCCGCCAGTAGGGTTAGTTGAATAGCTCTTCCTCTTCTCAGTTTTACTCACGAAAGCGATTGTTTCCATCTCTCTATGCTTTACGTGCTCCTATTAGCGGGATCTGTGGCCGGGCTCGAGACAGATTCCTATTCGTAATGTCTAGCCGACGACGGCACCAAGACTACGCGATCGGGTGGATATGCCCTCTGGCGGTGGAGCAGACCGCAGCCTTGCTGATGTTGGACGAAACGCACGATCGCCTCTCCCAACAGCCAGCTGACCAAAATGTCTACACGCTAGGAAGCATTGGTGGCCACAATATCGTGGTTGCAGGGTTACATCAAGCCGGCAACAGTCCGGCCGCCACTGTTGTCACTCAGATGCGAAACACTTTTCCGAACATCCATTACGTTCTCCTGGTCGGTATTGGAGGCGGCGTCCCAGTGAAAACGGAGAGTGGTTGGGTTCGACTGGGAGATGTGGTCGTTAGCAAACCAGTTGGGGAATATCCCGGGGTAGTGCAATATGACACTGGCAAAGCGGAAGTCGGTCAGTTCAAACGCATTGGAGCTCTGCCTCCACCTCCAGTGGTTCTTCTGCAGGCGGCACAAGACATGGAGGTAAAGCGGGTCCTTCTGAGGGCGCAGGACGACCCAATTGCAAAGGCCTTAGAACGCATCCCCAACGATATACCTGCTTTAGGAAAGTATCTATACCCGGGCCCTGCACAAGATCGCCTCTACTACAATGACTACACCCATAAGGAACCCGGCATACCTTGTGATGAGTGCAAGTGTGATCCTGCGAGGCTCAGGCTGCGTGACGACCCTAGCAATACGAACCACAATTACGTTCGTGTTCACAGAGGTGTAATTGCTTCGGGTGGGATGGTGATTAAGGATGCCAACAAGAGAGACGAATTAGCAGTGAAGTACAGCGTTTTGTGCTTTGAAACGGAGGCTGCAGGAATTCTGGCCGACCTGCCTGCCTTGGTGATCCGTGGAGTCGCAGACTACTGTGACTCTCATAAGAATGACCAGTGGCATGGGTACGCTGCAACTACTGCTGCAGCATACGCTCGCCAGCTGATTCTCCATATGCCAACATATAATACCCGGAGGTCGGTACGTGTGTCTGAGCTTATTCTACCACAGGAACGTACTAATGGCGCTAGTACAGTGATGAGGTGCCATCCAATAACTCAGTGGTTAACACAGCATCGCCTAGTCAGATCATCCCTTTGGCGCATTTATACCAGCAGATGCAAACACTGAGATTAACGGCTGCTAGGCTTCAGCCATCCGTAAGCGATCAGCGGAAGGAGCTCGCTGCGTGGATTGGTGGCACGATGACAGATGACGAGTATCACGCAGCTCTGTCTGTGCAAATGGCTGGCACATGTCGTTGGATCTTAGAGCGCACCCAGTTCAAGGTATGGGCAGCCTCCGCCTCCGAAGTCTCAAAGGTACTGTGGATTCGTGGCGGTCCGGGATGTGGGAAAACTGTTTTAACTGCCAGCATCATCCGACATGCCACCAGTTTGCCCACTGGATATCCACGCCCAGCAGCATATTTCTTCTGCACCCACGAGGATGAGCGAAAGCAAGACCTAAACGAAATAGCACGTTCCTGGGTTCGGCAGATAGTGGACAAAGTGGATGACGCAGTAACGATAGCACATCCGCTATGCGAGGAGAACAAATCGCGTGGAGCCACCATGATGGAAGTATGGGAGATATTGTACCGAATCTGTCATGGTGTGGATAATTGTATGCTCTTTCTGGACGGGCTTGACGAGTGTGTAATGTCAGGTGGTCCATGGCATCAGGATAAGGAAAGCTTTCTTGCACGTCTATGGAGCACAATAGGTGGAACGACGGCTAGAGTCCTCATATCCAGCAGAGGTGATGCAGACATCCATTCCCAATTTCTCTCAGCCCGTCAGGATACCATCACCTTCCTTGAGTACAGCATCGCGCTTGAGGACACGACACAGGATATCATTGACTACTCAACTCGCGTTGTTAGCGAGAGACTCGGGGTAAACAAAGACCAGGCCTTTATTCATGAGATCTCCAAGGATGTGGCTCGCAAATGTGATGGCATGTTTCTGTGGGTACGGCTTATGGGGAGACAGCTTTCGCCTGGGAAAAATAAGCATCAGATTCGGCGCACACTGGGTAGTATGCCACAGGGTTTGGAGAAGACGTATCAAAGAGAGATACAGTCCATTCTGAATCTCAGCGTTAGTGAAAAGGTGCGAGCTACTAGGATCCTCCGGTGGACCTATTTCGCTGCCCGTCCCCTCACCGTGCGAGAGTTAACAGAGGCACTACTTACAGAAGCCAATTCCTTGAACACATATCCATTCGATGAGATGCCGGATGCATGGGACGAATACTACGTCAACGATCAAATACGGAAATACTGCCAGTCGCTTATCGATATACGAGGCTCTGCAACATCTAGCATCGAAATGCATACCGTTCACTTCATACACACATCTGTGAAGGAATATCTATCCCAGACCGGCATATGTGCGATGGACCAAGATTTCCCCTTCTCAGAGGCGGCAAAACAGCACGAGTTACTGGGTAGAACTTGCCTCACGTACCTTTGTTTCGATGAGCTGACCACGAGTGATCCGTATGACGTCGATATTCTACACGATAAGAAGGAGACGTTTCGGTTTTTAGACTATGCATCCTTATTTTGGTACGGTCATGTGGTTCGACATGGCAATTGCCTTCAGAGATTAGAACGGTCCATTCGGTTGTTGTTCGATCCATCCTCGACCCGCTGGATTATGTGGTCAGAACTGGTCAGCCAAAAGATATGGCCAGCGTCTACCCTGCATGAAATCAAGGAAGGTAACAGGCCTACTGCTCTCCATATAGCATCATGCCTTGGCTTACTGGATACGGTGGAATGGCTCCTCTCCCTTGGCTCGGATCTTGATGCGACGGCATGGAGATTCGGCTCAGCACTGCATTCTGCCGCTGGACAGGGCCACAGGGATACCGTTCAGTTGCTGCTGACAAAAGGCGCTCATCCGAATAAGCATGGTGGTCTGTTTGGCTATCCTATTGTGGCAGCTGCTGCTGCGGCCAAGCATGATTCACGCAAGTCAGCAGATATCGTCCACATGCTTCTTCAAGCAGGTGCGGAGATTTCCTGCCGTGACCGAACAGGGCGTAGTGCGCTTCATTATTCTGCAGCTGTGGGATCTGCAGAATCTGTAACTATACTTCTTCAACACGGTGCCACTATCGACGATCGTGATGATCACCAACGGACGCCGCTGTTTTTGGCCGCAGCGCACGGCCATCGGTTAGTCACAGAACTTCTGATCAAGCGTGGCGCTGAAGTGTCGATCAGAGACGTAGATAGCCGAACACCGCTTTTTGCTGCTATTCAAAATGGCCATTTGCCCATTGTTGAGATTCTGGCTCAATATGATATCAATGTCAAGACACAAGACAATGCTGGCCTTACACCGCTACATATTGCGGTAAAGTTAGGTCACCAGCAGATGGTTGCTCTTCTGCTCCGTTGTGGAGCGGATGCAAATGCAGTAGATCAGGATGGGATGACGCCGATGTTTTTCGCAGCGCTTGGCGGGGACAAAACAATTGTTCACGATTTGATCCAACACAGGGCACAAATCAATGGCAAGACCTCCCTTGAGGCATGGACACCCTTGCACGCAGCCTGTGCGATGGGGAACGAGGCCACCACCGTACTTCTGCTAGAAAATGGAGTGGAGGTGGATGCTGCTGACAGTAATGGACATACCGCCCTGTTTTACGCTGCTGGGAAGGGCCTTCCGGCTACTATTGAAATTCTTATTCAATACAATGCGCAGGTAAACGCAACTCAAAAACATGGCCTGACTCCAATATATGTCGCGATTGCAGGAGTACAGCCGTTGGCTATCGAGGCACTAATAAAATATGGAGGATCTAATCTTATAAGCGACCAGTGTGCCTCTCTTCGTGGGTATACACCGTTGATGGTTGCAATGCTGATTGACGAATTTCGCCCTGTTGTCCCTCCACTGGTTAGAGCCGGCCTGTGGGTGAACTCTCACGCTGATTCCGGATTAACACCTCTGCACTTAGCGACGCAAATTGGGGATTTGGGAATGCTTGAACTTCTCTTGCAGCATGATGCCGCCGTGAATGCTATGACGAACGGAGGTTGGACGCCATTGCATCTGGCCGTGAGCGAGGGGAGAACGGACATTGTTCAGTTATTACTGGACCATAATGCGGATGTAAATGCAGAAAGAAACGAGGTCACGCCAATATATCTAGCTATTGAGAACAAAGACGTGCTTACTACTGAGGCGCTGGTCCGCTCTGGGGCAGAGGCAGACGTGCCGCTGGCGGCGGCAATCAAGCAAAGTGATGAAGATAAAGTTCGATTTATCCTCCAGCATGGACCTGACATTGGACGGGAATTTTTGATCTATGCGAACCGTTATGGACATGATCAGATTGTGCAGCTTATGGTGCATTACTTTCTTTCAAAGGACACTGTTGACTAGAATAGCATTTTGTCTGGGATGCCCAGAGCTCTAATATTCCTTCAAAATATTACGCTTAAAATTTATACTACGGATTTGTCACGGCATTTCTTTACGGTGTACACTAGGTCTTGCCTTCTAGATAATCAAGAAGTCAAAATATATTTTATCCATCAATGACATGGAACCTCACATCATGCGTGGGTATTGCAAAGCCGGCCTGGTGGCGGAGGCATTGCTGAACCCTAAACTGCCGCAAGAAATTGGCACAATGTCTGTACACACCATAGGCACTTTCCAAAACTCGGCTTACACCTTATCTTCCAAGGTCATTGCGGTTGAAGTCATCGGTTATGCTTGATTTGGCGGTGGGAATAGTGGCGGAACCCATCTGTGGGATTAGATATACTGTAGGCGCCGAAAGCGCCCGAGGCAATCTCCCAAGCACCTATGTACATGCGTCGATTGTTTTCTTATATACTGGTCTTTTCTGTTCCTGTTTCACATCACCACTTTAGGAACCAACGGTCTTGTGGAACAACATGCAGACGATGACCGCGTTTATGATAAATACTTCACGACGGCATGTCCAGCTACAACTCCCTGCCTCTAGCCGCTGCTCTAGCGGGGTTAGTTGGTAGCACCTTCTCGGCTCACCTTAGTGCTATACTGCCTTCTGGTATGGTTTTATCCGCGAGGCCAAAAGTGATTTATTGTACATATCAGATTATCCAGCGAAAAATCCTGGTATCCCAAAATTATCCAATAAAGAACTCAAGTCCCCCTTCAAACTTTTCCCTTCTTGTTTGGACGCTATATATTCTGAATTGCAACTCCTGGCTCTCAGGGATTTTGCCAGTGAAAGGTTGATAGTCCATCTTGGAGCAACTAGGGGCACTAGCCATGAGTCGATTCCACCAGTGTGACTGTGTACGGCGAGTGATCAACGAGACCAGCTGCCTTGATTCACGTGTATCTCGTAGAGTCAATAATTGCTGCAGGGATATGATCTTCAGTTGCTCTGGGCCTATGTTCCGCATTTCTTTCCCATCCTTGTAAAGATGAACTAGGAAATACGCATCATGGTCAAGCTCTGAACTAAATGAAAGAATCTCTTGCAGGATTCCTGCGCTTTTGCTATTGGGGTTATCAATCATCTGTTGAGCGCACAAGGTGAGGGCGATTATCCACAAGGACAACATGTTTCCTTTTCTACCTTCGCCTAGTTCCACAGGGAATTTGTCTTTGGGGGATAGCCCCTTCTGTAACAGGATTCGCACCACATCCGTATGGCCATAGACGACTGACAGGAGGAAGAGCTGCCTCTGAAAAGATGGGTCTTTTGGGAGGCTGGTGCCCGCAGCAAGTCTTTCTAGCACAAAATGAGTCTGCTTCTCACAAAGTAGCCAGCACAAATAAGGAAACCTGTTTTCGAACTGGGAATGAAGCACAGACAAAGTGTTGCGTCCACAGTAGTGAAATCTAATTAGGATATGGGACAGTATCGAGGTACCCCACATGTTCTCACATACCGCTACAATTTTCGATGATGTGGGCGAGTGACTCAAACAAGCCAATAATGAAGAGAGAACAACCCAGATACTGAACCAGTCGTCAACTTCTTGACCCTTGTCGTACTGTATGCGGCCAAATATGAGATACGCAAGAAGTAATCGACAACATGACTCCTGGACATCAAAGTGCGGAAGACGCTTCTTCAACTGATTGGCCTTCGAATCACGGAGATAATCTCGAGCAGCACGATGGAAAAACGCTACCTCATATTTGCTGCATCCCTCTGTACTCGGCTGGGTGTGGAGTTCGAGTAGCCCTTTCGACAGTGAGTCTATTTTGCTTCTGACGATATCGCTCCTATTCTGTAGCTCTTCTTCGAAAGATCCCATCGTCGTTACGCAGTATGGAAATTCCACATCGTGAAGATCATCAAGCCAGGAATACAAAATTGCCGGGAGACTAGAAGATGTCAATTCAAGGGCAATGAGCAATAGTTTATCTGCCTCTTCACGGGCAGAAGAATCTACTCCACCGAGCATATTGTCGAAAAGCGCTTTCATGTCATCGGGAATTGCGCCTAGCTTCCTGCGAAGCGTTTCGGGAGAATCGCGGTAGCCTACACCTCCAAGGAAGGAACGTGTGGCTAGTCTCGCCCATAGAAAAACACCATCTGCCCGGATTACAATGCTTTCTGCTAATTCCCGGTAGGTTGCTTTTATTCGCTCAAAGTGTCGATCTTTCTCCATCATGGCCAGACAATATTGACGGATATCAGACCGTGTGAGCAGATGCAATTGGATTTGTTGGCGAGGACAGCAATAAAAGGACTCCATAAACTCGGTATGTGGTCGGCTAGTCACACAGATCTTAACGCCTTTTGATCTTGTCCACAACTCCATATCCCTGGCAATTGACCAGTGATCTAAACTGTCTCCCTCGTACTCATCAAGACCGTCAATAAAAAGACAAATGCGCTGGTTTGAAACAGCGGGTAGCGCAACGAGCTTCATGAATGCTATCTTAACTTCTTCAAGACGATAGTGCGGTAGGCTGGCATCATTTGAGGACGACTGAAGGGGTATGGAGTTGTCCGGGAAGACGTGAGGGATAAGCTGAGGGAATCCTTTCAAAACCTCAAAGAGTATAGCCCGATAAAGACCTTCGATTGAGCGTTGCAGTTGATCGCCCGCATTCCAGAAAAAGAATTTAGCAAACACTAGTTGATGGGGCTTGGCCCAGGAACGAAGCTCTTCCCGGACGCGCGAGCTATCGCAGAGAAGTTTCATCAAGGTTGACTTTCCAGACCCTGCCTTGCCGCTTACATGATATATTCCAGTGCCATTTCTTAACCACTGCAAGAAGGAATCACGCATTTCTACCTTCTTGGCAGTTAACTTATTATCTCCTTGATCGGCTGCTTTATCTTGCTCCTTCGGGAATCATCCGTTATCCACTGAAATGTTTCAGCCTCGGCATGCGTCACAGAATCTTCCCGATAATACATGGAAGGATAATACAGACGGCTGAGGATCTCATTCTCGTTCGCCATGTTCACCGATAGCTGATAAACATGGGTTAAAGCGGAGCAAACATCATATGAAGACATAGACACAGGAGCCTCGTCTGGTTTGTTTGTCCATTTCTGTCCATCTTCCTCGTGAAGCTCTCGTAAGTGCTCCACTGCATCTAAAAGCTCTTTGCGCAACGACTCGAGTTGCCTGGCATGCTCGTTGTTAATCTTTCTCGCGTCATTCAGAATAGAATCAAGGCGAGCGTTGACTAAAGATTGTTGGTGCCTGTTCCTGTTAATCAGTCTCTCTTCACCACATTTTCAATACAGCAGCTTCTCGCACCCAAACATGAATTGGAGACGCAGAAATATTTGCGATCGGTACTTGGACAATCTGGACTCGATAGACATGATCTCTTTTTCTTTGCGCATGCTAGTCCATTTGGTCTTGAGACTTTCCCATTTAGAATTCTCAACTTTCGCTTTCAGTTTTCTGAGAGTGTCGGATAGTTGTTGGGAGAGCTCCCAGCATTCCTCAGCCAGAAGGAGTAGGGCTTTTTCGTTTTGCGTCGTTCCTTTGATGTCGGAAATCAGTTGACTCGAAGCTTTCTCTAAATCCGTAATGATGGTTCCAAGCGTGGCATTCTCGACCGTGGTGCCATCCGCTGATTTGTATACGCTCCAAGCGCCTGTGACCAGCTCCCAGGTGAAATCGATGAAAGAGATAATGTTAGACGCTAAGCCAACCGCCGCTAGAGGGTCCATTTTGAGGAAGCCTCGGTTGTATAGGATGTGATTCTTCCTAAATAAACACTGAAGTTATACTCCCACTCGTATGGAATTCTGGGGGTGGACAAGGCTGACTGCAAACCCCAGGTAAGTTGTGAAAATGTGCCCAAGAAATGTCGGTAAAGGGAACGAGGCTGACTAGGCAAATTTTCCATAAGCCAACACCCCTCTTTTTATGCAAGGCTGAGGTTTCGTAATGGTCTGGACCAATCGATGGGAGTAAAAAGGAGTGCATTCCATGCCTGATGGATGCATAACAGGCGCTACCGAGTGGGTGTAAAATACGGGAGGATGGGGGAGGAACGAGGAAGAAGTTGATACTTGCTCGCTTTACAATTTATAAACACTTGACAACCTGTGGTTCCACTTTGGGCGGATCTTTGTATAACTTGCAAGGCCGGAGCAGTTACAGACTACCACCTGGCAGGTTAAACAGTTACTCAAAAAAGGTATTTGGAACGAGTTGAAGGACAAACAGTGTTGTTATTGATTACCGTCTAGAAATCATACTTAACATTATCACCTTGAGCATCCGGGTTCTACTACAAAAAGTTTGTAAAAACAAAAATAAAATAAAATAAACTAAACTAAAATAAAATGCTATCAAACTTTCGACCGCTCTGGTCGGGGTATTCGAGATCGGGTATCTTGAGCTTAGCCTACCAGACCAAACCCTTAAAGCACATGCTGTACAAACTGAAACAAGATAATTGAACCCTAATCCTTCCATGCTCTCCGACACGTCGGACATGTAGACTTAGGGGCGGCCTTCAGCCACGATTCAATGCAGGTTGTGTGGTAGTTGACTCCACATTGGGCTTTGCACCAGGATAATGCCTGCTGTTCTTCCTCGTCTCCCGTATCATGGTGCACACCGTGACTAGCTCCACAGCGAGCTTTTTTCAAGGGGTCAAAACAGATGCCACAGTCTCCTTCAATAGGTCGGCGAGTAGTATTGCCAGAACTTGACGATGTCGTAGAGGACAGGGCGGCTCTTGAGCCACTACCAGGAAGAACGCGAGTGGAGGTCGTCGAGGGCAGAGCGGCTCCTGAACCACGATTGGGGGTTGTGTGAATAGCCGCTGTTGGTGTGCTCGACAGTCCACGGTTCGATGCTGCAGGAGAGGCAGCCCGGAGGCCTGCTTGGGAGCTTTCAGCCGCTGCCCTTGTGCTATTCGTTCTTTCCTGTGTTGCAACTGCAGCACCGCTCATAGAGCGCTCGCGTCGTCTATTGGTGGAGTTTGCGGTTTGAGTGACACGCTCATTGATGCGAGTTTCTTGCGAAGTGGCGGGTGCCCCTTGGACAGTCCATAGCTGTCCACCAATACAGACTGGAGCCCAGTTCGCCAGATCGGGCCATTCCGCCTCTACAGTCTGCCTGGATCTTGCCGGAGGGCTAATCCGTTGTCGCTCTCCAGTAACCCGTTGAGTAGGTGCAGGAGACACACAAGAGCCCAAGTATTGTTGAACTTTGCTCTTCCACTTTGCAGCAAGATCGAGAGCCTGATACTTGTGCCACCGTGTGCACAGAGTGTAAGGAGCCAGCTCCTCGAGCAGGTCACTGATGTCTCGTCCCGCATGGAGGTCTTTGGTCCCTTCGTCTAATAAGTGCATGGCGGTTTGCCGGTTCCCCGCATTTGTTGAAAGGTGGCAGCGACGACCCTGTGATGGAGCGTATCCTGCACACCATCGTTCTTCCTCTGGGTAGAGCTTGAGGATCTCAGAGAGGTGGGGAAGGGAGGTTGTTTGAGCCAATGAGTATCGAGAAGGCATAGTGATAATTTTACAAGTTGGTTTCTAGGAGCTGAGTGTTCTCCAAGGCTTGATGATTGTAGAATATTTTGCAGGAAGGTCATACTCTCTCTATATACCCTGATATGACCCCAGAAAGACCGGGGTATTTACTTGTCTGCCTAAGGCGCAAGAGGGATGTACGATGGTTCAGCCACACATGCGTGGCTCAGCTCAAGGCTAAGTCCTTGCTTTATGCAACATAAATCAAATGAAGACTAGCAGCCGTGACATTATACTGCAAGTTGGGTGTGGCAGTGTCATCGGGCTGTCTTATTGGGGTGTATAGACAGGGGTGCCGGATGCTAGCGGTTATGCTGTAGCTCTCACTGGTTAGTGCTGGAGATGGTGTGATAAGATACAGTAGTTGCCCATCCAAACTGGCTCCCCCATCACTATAAATAAAAAGCCCTCTCGTTGAAACCTTTTCCGTTTCGGGATAAGTTTCAAGGCAGCCCCATTTTTACGCCGCAATCAGACCTGATCGCGGCATGAGCGCACGCGGGGCTTGTCCTGACAGCTGCTGATTACCTATAGAACTAACTTTAAGTACTTTAATCCCCGGGTCTATAACATCTCGACCGAAATTCGGCGTCTTTCTTAACCATCTTCTTCTGTAGGTGACGACGACCCCTCTACAAGAAGCGCAAGGGAGAGGACTCTGGAGTATGGGCGGAGAGGGAGCAGCCTACAAATCGATTGGAGGTAAGCTCTAGCGATACTCCATGGTATCATTGGAATGGGTCTATGCGTGAATTCCGAATGCCTATAAATAGCTGAAGCTGCACTAAACAGCACAACAGGTATGCACGTTTCACCGTTTGCTTAAGTACATTGATCGATTGGGATACTGCTCACGAATGCTTACGCTAATTCGGGATCCTGCGGCCACATCACCCGGAATCCCAGCTGCTCCCTGCGTGCTAACGTCTCCTTCTTCCACTCCCGATATGCGGACAGCTCGCGCTCTGTTGTAACATAGCCGAATATATCTCGCCCACTAGAGAAGTCCAGACGTGTCAATGAATCGGCGAGATCAATCTCCGCGTTCCGTTCCCCGTTCACGAGGACCTTGATAGCTCCAATCCGCTCGTAGAGGATCTTGCCATATTCTGCCGTGTGGTAAGTCATCCCGAGAAGGGCATAGATATGCCCTGACAGGTATTTTGCGAACCATTCGGGTCGGGTCTTGTGATCAGACAACTCAAAATTGACTCCAGCCTCGGTTCCAGGACGAGGATCTTGCCTATATTGGCGCCGCCACCACCAGCGGTAGTCGACTTCGTCCGGTGGGAAGGAGAGTTCGGATTCTGCAGACTGGAAGTCAAGCACTAGTGTCTTCACGGTCACATCCCGGTCGACGTCCATGGGGGCTTCTTTTCGGCTCGTCTTTTCATCCACGGGCCCATACCGGATGAACCGCTCGAGCAAGGCGTAGAAGCTCCATTGGAAACCTAGATGACCACCGTCCCCAACTTGGGAGCGCGCGGCGTCGCGCGAGAGAATATGGCCAAAGAGACGGACGTTGACATGTAGCGTCGAGACACGGTGCGTGAGTCGCGGCACAGACAGCCAGGTGGGGTACAACGCGACATCATTGAGGACCGATAAGTCCAGGATGTACGGTGCGGACGAGATGCGGTCCAGGGTCGCCAGAGTCTCCTCGGAGAGCTGGTGGTTAGCCCGGATGAGGCCACTCGCGTTGTTGGGACAATGGCTTTGCCGTCGCTCGTAATAGATGACACGGCGCCATGCCCGGTACCCCATGTCACGGAAATCCGCTCGGTTGGCTTTGGATGGAGTTGCGGGTGGCATGCGCTGGTCCTTCAGAACCAGCTCGATGATGAGTTCCCGCAGCTCGAGGGGGAGATCCAATAGCGATGGCATGGTGATTGCTCCTTAACTTGTTTACTGGACGCTTGAATCTTTGCTGCAAGAGGAGTAAAGTGGGGACATTGGCCGTTCTGATCTTCGATAAATTCCCGCGCTGTACTCTCAGCCCTAGTCAACTACTACTAGTCCAGTCTTTGAATAGCGCCTGTACTAGTGAGTCAACGTGTTCCTGCCACCTCGGTATTTCATACAAAATGGGATATTTAAATCTATGACCGGCAGAATATTAGCGGAACAATAATATTTGGACACGTGAATATCAGGGGTCGTATAAGTCGAAAGGACATGAGGTTCGTAGCCACGGATCTACATTAGGCACGAGGGGGATAGGAGAGGTTCAAAGCTAGTACAGTGCCTAATTGGCCGATAGACGGCTCTTTAAGAAGAGCTACAGCCAATAAGTGGCTAAACGACAGGAACATAAGTCGTGATAGAGCCTCAATAAGATTCTATCTGATACTGGCAAAGAGATCAATTGCACGGACGGACCTGCTTTCATGTCTTCGGTAAATTAGCCAAATCAACAGCCCCTCCCGATCTGGCTAGCGGACTGATTACAAAGCGGGATGCTAACTATTAGCAGTTAGTTCATTCACTAGCCCTGGTGACTAAGCGGGTGGCATGCCCGATCTGGCTAGAGGCATACAGAGCCCTTGGCGGATACAGGATCCTTCAGGAGATGGCGCATGCTGCTTGGATCCGAGATCGTACGCTAAATGCCTAGTCACGGAGTATATCTATTAGAGTGTGGAATGTTCCGAATGACGCGTGGCACAGGTTGAGTTGGATATATAAAAGTGGCCATGTAGCACGTAGGCACCCGGCACTTCATTCCAGGGACCCATCTCATTGCTCATTCTTCCATCCAAACCTTGATTCACTTTTAAAAACTCATGCAGTCATCATCGTTTCAAGTCATTATTGTGGGTGGCGGCCCAGTGGGCTTGACAGCCGCCCACGCCCTTTGCCATGCCGGCATAGACTTTGTCCTCTTGGAGCAAAGGGAGTCGGTTGCCCTTGACCAGGGTGCCAGTTTGGTCCTTGCACCACATAGCCTACGAGTAATGCACCAGTTCGGTCTGCTGGAGGAACTGGGAAAGGTTGGAAGTGAGCTGCAGTGCCACCAGTCTTTTACTCGAGAAGGACATCGATTCTGCGATTCAGATACTTTCTCGATAATCAGGAAGAAGTAAGTAGTTCGGGATCCGTCTGGCTTTGATCTCCTTATACTAACGGGAATGCGGGTTAGCCATGGATCAGCACCTGTAGCATTTCACCGGGCCCAGCTCGTAGAAATCCTCTATAATAGACTTCCGGTTAAAGCAAAAGAGCAGTATTTTCTAAATAAGAAGCTCACCGGCATCGAATCGGACGAGAAAGGCGTCAGTGTCACCTGTGCCGACGGCAGTACTTACCGTGGATCGATGGTCCTGGGAGCAGATGGTACACATAGCAAAACCCGCCGGCTGATGCGAAGTCTAGCTATAGCGGAGGACCCCCAGCGTGGCTGGGACGAGGAGAAACCCTTCTCGGCACAGTACAGATGCATGTGGTGCAGCTTTCCACGACCAGCAGAAATGGGTCAATTTTGCGAAACACAATCCAAGGATCGTTCCATTATGTTCATCACCGGTCAAGAGCGAGGCTGGATCTTCCTGTACGAGAAGCTGCCTGTACCGACGAATGAGCGTATTGATTACACCGAGAAAGACATAGAAAGCTTTGCGCAGGAGTTCGCAGGCTATCCCATTTCGGGAACGCTGAAGGTCAAGGATGTCTATGCGAGGCGATTGACTGCGGGAATGGCCAATCTGGAAGAGGGAATTCTGAAGCACTGGAGCTGGGGACGAATTGCTCTCGCAGGCGACGCATGTCACAAGTACACCCCCAACGCTGGCCGCGGGCTGAATAATGGAATTCAGGATGTCGTGGTGCTGTGCAATAAGCTGCACGATATGCTGAGGTTAAATTCTAGTGATCTGATCGATGTTGCACATCTACACAATGTCTTTGAGGAATACCAGAAACTGAGGGAAGCCCCCATGCGGGACGATGCGAAGGAATCGTTGTCCATATCACGTATGCATGCCTGGGCCAATGCTTTCTATTATATCATGGCTCGTTACATCATGTCATGTGAAGTTGTCCGGTGGTTCCTGTTCAACTTCATTGTGGCGCCCGCTATGCGCAAGGGATATGTGCTAGATTATATTCCTGCAAAAGAGCCCCTTCAGGGGTTGGTCACCTGGGAGCACCAGATGAAGAGCGAGTGATTTTAATGAGGCGTGATATTTCGTTTTTGAATCTTTTGAACCCCAACTGTAGATTATTAGATTATATATATTCTTTAAAATGTATGATGTGACATGTGTACGTTTGATATACCTGGTTTATCACAGTACTGTGATCAAACATCGAGTATGTCGTTTCAGCTAGGCAACCGCCTTGTTCCCTCGGTATAATATAGCACATTTCGCAAGACGCTGTAACTCGGTTATAAAGCCCTTCAATAAATTGTCATCTTGGAATGAGCCTAGAAATTCTTGGGTGTCCGCTAGTACACGAAAACGCTCTGTGACTGTTTCAAGGAGAGCGAGATCATCGTTAGCTTCTGGTCCTGCGGGATTTCTAAGTATGCTACAGAAGACTGTCATCACAGGGGACACAATGTAGAAAACCCTACAGTTCAACAAGCATTAGACAGGAATAGCAATGCACAAGATTGAGAATAACATACCAGAATGAATCCTTCTGGACCCAGTCCAGAACCTCGAGAAACTCCCGTAGAAGAGAACGGCTAGCATTCATGGCAACTTCCAAGCTCAGGTTTATCCCTACCAGTCGCCAACTTCGGTCTTCCATCCATGCTGCGCATCCGGTGCTCATTTGATGAATAGCAGCAATACAGTAATAACGTTGCAAACGGATGAACATAGAGCGATGAGCTACCTCATCATGGGAGGCTAGCCCTCGCAAGAGAAGCAAGTCGAATGTGTGTTGCAATTGCAGGCTGTTATACCATCCATCCATAGTGTCATCAAGCTCTCGGATGGTTTTCAGCAGCTTCGCATCTGACAGTTGTAGCGCTCTAGGTGAGTAAAGGCTTGTATATATTTTTGACTGATTAAGGCTGAGGCCGAGATCGGTAGGAAACAGAAGGAGTAGAGTGTTTCCTTCGATTTGGGAAACGGGAAGGTCGAATTCTATGGCGATCTCCTCTTTACTCGGAAAGGTCAAATCACAGTAATCATCGCATATTGAGGGAGGACGGGTTGTCCGCATGCACATCTCCTTATCGAACACATAGGCCAGCCAGAATAGAAATCTACAGTGTACGTTGAACACGTTCATATCTTGCAAAAGGTGTCTGTACTGGTTTCCTCGCAAAGTAAAGATAAAACGTGTAGCGGCAGAGAACAATACCTCAATAGATGAGGTATCGCCGAATCGCAGAGAACGGTCGAGAGTCTGGACAGATTTAGCAAACTGAAGGCGTTGAGACACCAATATAAAGCTCGCTATACATCGAGCGCATGAAACTGTAATTAAAGATAGGACAAGAAAGAAGCTGCGTGGGCATTACGTACAATCATGAGAAGCGTTTGTATTCCGTCCAAAGTGGCTAAACTATCAAAGATCTTCGAGAGAAGATATTGTGCTTCATGGCCATACTTCTGGCCGTCAATATTCATGGGCGACTTTGTCAAGCTTGAAGATGAGCCCATAAATGCCATGAAGGCAAAGACACAGGCTGTGGCGCTCGGGATATGAGGCGAATAGGTTGATGGCTGATGATCGTATGCAGCCTTTACCGTATACTCAAAAAGAGTCGGGTGGATGAAAGGAAGCCAACGATTTGCAAAGGTTGACCTATAGTGAGTAACAAGAGAGAAGAGTATATTCCGATCAGGAAGGTCGGGGTGACGGTGACGCTTGAAGAACTGTTCAGTAGCCTCAAAGCCGCAGTGCTGTGGGCGTTGCCAAGGCAGACCGAGTGAGCAGAATCGGTCAAAATCGATCCTTTCGCCAGTGCACGATGCCATCCATCGCTGACTCTCTAAAGAAAAGAACGAGTCTCCATTGAAAGCGCGAAGATGACTAGGGACATGGCCCGCAAAGTAGAAATCTCGATATGCCACTCCTTGCTGTGGCAAGGCTACTGGAGCTGTGGCCATGGGCCCGGTATCGGTCTGTCCTCCGTTAGGTTCGTAGTTGCCGGAGGGGAGTACATTGGCTCACTGTCTCTTTACATTGAGCGGATGCACTCCAAGTATCATGGGGAATATTCCCACCCAATGTGAATACCGACCTATCAGAGAAGTTAACGATTGGATCATCATACATTGCACACAGCAGATATCCTACGTCAGCTCGGCCGGGAGAGGCTTTCGAGTCAAGCGATGGCCTCGATCAAATGTGCATGGTATACTACGTTCTGAACACCATTCGCATGGGTACCTTTCTCGGTGGCATTTGATCTAAGATGCGTCAGACTTCGGACGCAAGACTGCCCAAACCATGGCCACCTTTTTATGGAAGCATGAGTCGCATGCCACGGCAGTGCGTTTGCGGGACTGAATTCCATCTATACTACTGGTTTCCATTATGCATGATCATAGTAAATATCAACTCAGGTAATCGGCGATTGTCTGGTGGTTTGACTGAAGGTGGGGTTTCCTGAGCTAAGGCTTTGTGGTGCTCGAGTCTTGAGTCTTGAGTCTTGAGTGTTGACATCGCGTCCTGTCTGCTTACTAATCCCTCTATATTCCCTGGGAAATCACCAGCAAGACCATCGCATATTAACACTGCTCAAGACAGACATTTGATAAATAAGGAGAATACATAACACTCTCATACCCTTTGAGCTATAGAACAATTACCTGCTTGAATTATTTAAATTATCAAGCAGTTCTAGCAGTTCAGATAATTCAAGCAATCTAGATTAGCTCAACAGCGGTTCTTGGGACGCTCCCTCCCCCAACCCACTCTTTTTTGGCGACAGCTACAAGCTCGTTGCAGTATACTGCAACAATGATATCTGCGTACCTCGTTACGCTATACGTCAGCACAAGCTGAACCTCCAGAATGTCTGACAACGCATAGTTCAGCGGGAAAAAGTGGCGCGCGGCGCGGGCCGAGCTGGTAATCCAACCCCAGTTTAGCCGACTATATACAGATCGCTGATATCGGACCAATCATATACTCCGGAGTAATAATCCGGTTCTTCTCTCTCTCTTGGGGTCCTACTATTTCTGGCCAAAATCGAGCTACAACCAGCTAACACAAGGTAGAAAGTGTATTATTTTGTTGTTCCAAGGTTGCCATATTGTCCGACGAACGTCGACCTATCACGGGCCTGCGGAAAGGTCGGGTCGAGGCCCGCATGCAGCCTACATATTGCATGCAACTACGGGGTACTCCGTACATAAATGCAGTCATACCATAGGAGCACACCGGAAGGATGAATATTTTCTTTTCTTCCTTGTCCTTTTTCCCGTGGCTGGCTGTACGGGGTCATAAATGCCCATTCCTCCACCCATGTACACATATTGACGCACAGATTATCCTCAGCTCTTCTCTCTTTCTCCCTTAGGGACTAGCCATATGTGGTTTCTATCTGTCATGATCTCGGAGAGATACCTCCAAATGGATAGAGCTGTTTTCCTGCATGTGCAATATGGTGTAAACGGTCAACTATTCCAAGGTTGACTCGTCCTGTAAGTACATGTGCATGTATGCATGCCCAATTGAAGCTTGGATTCTGATACTTGCTATCACTACTCTGTGTATGATATCGCGTAGAGCGGCTGTATGGAATTGAGAGGTTAGCAGGGCTCACAGGCTCAACGGGCTACAAATAAACCCCCCCAGACCACCGCGAGATACCAGACTACTGGGATCCAGCATAGCGTCTAGCGAACACGAGAGAGTCAATGTGAACGAACTGTTAGAATGACATCCTCAGGCTCATTGCCAATGTAAGCTCAACTGATACGTGTAGATTTAATAGATATGTATCTCATCGTTTTAAAAAGCGAAGGTGCCGGAGAAGTGCCACAGTCTTTGTCCTAGTTATTGCAATCTGCTCCGATGGCGACATTGTCCGATAATTGGCCAATACCTACGCATCTTGCCTACATAGTCGTTGCTAAAAGCTCTCTACTCTTTATATTATCTATAGATGCCCTACCCGGTCAGCCCTCATAACTTGTTGCTTGTATCATAAGATAGCCAGTGGTATACAGCATCGCAACCCATACAGTTTACTCCATACACCCATCTGTGATGAAACTTGTTTGATGCAAGCTGGATAAAGCGCCTATCATTGTTGTTGAGACGTGTGTCAAAGGCCATGTAAACACTGGGCGAGATTCGTAGGTCTATTCACCACCGTTGAGAAGGTTGTTAAAGATGCTATCTTTCCGATTACTCAGAACTGTGGGCTCATCCATCTCTACTACCCTTCCCCGATCTAGACAGACAATCAAATCGTAAGACAATAGAGTGTGGACACGATGTGCAACCGTAAGGACTGTGCATAAACGAAAGGGATCCTGTTGCAGAAGGTCCTGCACACGAGCGTCGGTTTCCATATCGACGCTGCTGGTGCCTTCATCGATCAACAAGATCCTAGCGTTACTTGTTTGTATTTTTAGCATTGCGCGAGCAAGTTGTAGCAGTTGTTGCTCGCCTTGAGATAGGAATAAAGTGTCGTTGATTTCGGTATCCAGTCCGCCCCTTTCGAGAAGCAAACCATCCCAGATTCCGACTCGGACGAGAGCCGTGATGATGTCTATGTCTGAAAGGGTTTCGGTGGGATCTAGATTGAATCTGACTGTACAGCCAACCATGATGAGTGGTGTTTGAGAGATGGTGACAAGGCTTTCGCGGACTTTATCAGGGGGAAGAGTAGCGAGGTCAATGCCGTCGATAACAATTGAGCCGCAGATCACAGTGAGCATACCCAATAGCGTCGACAGTAAAGAGCTCTTTCCACTGGTTGATATGCACGGTGGCAAGTCAGCTAGGACTGCTAACTCTAACACTAAATAGGGCTCTCTGGAAGATGATACTTACCTCCCAGTACGTCCGCAGATACCGATTTTCTGACCAGGCAGACATTTCAGAGAGATATTGCTCAGCACGGTTGTTTCGGAACTGTTCGTGTGTTTGTTAGTAATGCGAATCAAAGGTGGCGATGGTTCATATATCTTGCGGGATACATACCTATACTGCGCAGACATCCCCGAGATCTCAATAGCTCCTTGGCCTGGCCAGCCAACGGGTATTTCTTCTTGCTGAGTTGATATTTCACATGGCACTGAGAGTTCAAAATCTCTGACGCGTAAAATTGAGCCAAGGGATATCTCCAGTTGTGTCCAACCTGATATGAGAGACGAAAGGCTACCATTAAAAGCTTCGTGCAGATGATTCAGCCGGAGGAAGTATACTATCCATGTCATGGCCTCAAAGGGGTAGCATTAGCAAAGTAAAGTGTCATAAGAAACACATACCGAGAATGCTATTGAGCGATACTCCAAGCAACCCGGCACTCGTAGTATGTCTTAGAGACACTGCTAGGCTGACCACAATGACCGCTTCGACAGCGACGATGAGGTCCAAGACTAAGGTGAGCCAGCGCTGAATGCAATTAAGCATATAATACGTTCGCTGAGTAACATCCAACAATGTTGAATTGGCGATTCGAAAGTCTACTTCCCAGCCGAATGCCTGAATTGTAGCCAGACCCTCCACAGTATCAAGAAGATAGGAATACAACGGACTTCTGCTTTCCAGGTCCAGTAGTCGAAGTTGTCGTGATGTCTTCAGATAGAAATGCTGTAGGATAAGGACGGAGATGATCAAGAAAGGCACAGATATTGCCATGTACTTCGATCCAGTCGCAATCAATGCAGCACTGGCAATTGATGAAAAGAGATCTGGATTCATCAGTAATAATCTCGATAATTGGCGGGCGATAGTGGTTAGAAAGTCTTTCCGGAGGTTGAGTGGAATGGTAGGGGCCTTACTGGAGACCGTGATTAAGACGCCAATAGGTAAATCGCTTTCTATCAGAGTCATATCCTGGCTAAATCGGTTTAGTAGTGACCCGATGTCAACGGTGGCTAGGAATCGAGGTGTTGCCCTTCAGGTGTCAGCAATTGATTGAGGTACGACAAAAAGGACCTGAGTGTACATCATGACAGTCTTTAGTACGACATAATGAAGTCGGCGTGCTGTGGAGGGTGAGATCAAAATGAGGATAGCCCTAACATTGTGTTGGGAGTCAGTCATGCTTTATTACCGGGCAGAACACCTCACCAAACATAACCACCATTTCCGACGGTGTTGCAAAGGGCGAGAACGAAATAAACCGTGACATAGAGTGCCTTTTGGCCTCCGCCATGATGAGCCCATCGCTCAAGCCAAATTTCTAGTAGAAAGTCAACGTCAGTGATATCGGGAGTAGCACAACTAAGAATCCACATACGGCTGTAGGTGCTAGAGAAGACATTCATAGTCACGAAGAAAACGAATATCACAGCGTTCGTCCACCCAACATAGCGCAAATAATACGTATAGACAGCAGAATCCCCTGCTGCCCTCCTGAGATCGTCGATCTCATTCGCCTCAGAGATTATGGCGGCTTTGTCCTCTATCACCAGCTCTGGGAATCCATTCGACTCCTCAGCTTTCACAGCGTCAGATCCTATTCCTTGATAGATATTCCCCTACCGGGGCTCTTCCTGACGAAGATGCCCATCTGAGAGAATATAAATCTGATCCGCACTATATAGCTGCTCCACTAACAGGGTGTTAGCTTGTAATAGGCGACAAAGAAACTTTGAAGGGGGTCCTACACTCATGTGTCACCAAAACTATAGTGGAATTTGCTTTTCGGAGCAGTCCATCAACTCCCAAAAGACGCGCTATGATAGTTTTCTTAGTTTTCTGGTCCAGTGCACTGAATATATCGTCCAACAACAAAAGCTTCCTGCGAGAGTATACCGCTCGAGCAAGAGCGATCCGATGCATTTGACCACCGCTCAGTACATGACCAGATCCATGCCCAATTCGCGTAGCGTCTCCCTCGCTAAGCAAATTCAGATCCAGATTGAGAGCGCATGCGTGAAGAACAGCTGTGTACCACTTTTTATCAAATGCGCCCTGCCTCACGGGGCCTGCCGAGAAAACTCCACAGATTACATCACGGATAGTGCCACTTGGGACCCACGGTGTTTGCGCGCAGAAGGCCAGCTGTCGAATGGTCACTGTCGTGGAGCCTGACTCACACACTACCTGGCCAAGTATAGCCCGGAGCAGGGTCGATTTGCCCGATCCAACTGGCCCTTGGATCATGACCAGCGTTCCGAGAGGCACTTTTAAATTAACATCTCTCAAGACAATTTTTGCCGACGGGGATGGGCGAACACTAAGCTGTTCCATGGAGATGACAGGTTTTTGAAAGTCAATAGTGTCTGTCGGGCCCTTGAAAGCCATGTATTGCACTTCAGCGATATTCGGAGATGTATCGACTTCTGCTTCCCTCGTGCGAACAAATCCCTCCCCTGTGTTGTGAGCGCGGGTTTCCAGCAGAATAAATGCTTGTATTCTATCAAAAGATCCCGTCGCAGCTGCTATGGAAGGAATCGCGCTTAATAGCTTAGAAACTGGATTGGTTAAAAGAGTTATGATGGACAGACTGCTGAATGCCTTGGTGACATTCAGTTCATTTCCTTGAGCGGCGTAGACGACGAAGGTCAAAGCTGGCGCTAAGGCCCAAGGCAGGTTCTGGATCATATTCTTCCAGACCACACTCCATCGGTACTTGGCCATTTGATGGGTTTCTTGGGCCCTTTTCCTCTGTACGAGCTGAATAAAGGCTTGACCTAACCCAGTCGCCTTAACTGTTTGGATACCGTCCAGCATTGAACGGGTGATCGCTATGCGTTGCTGCACAGCATCCACCCATATTTTCTGGTGTCTTCCTATATGCTTCGAGATATAAACACTTCCTCCACTAGATGCTATTATCAACCTTCAGCAAATCGTACCCATATGTGAACTGAGACTGGGATCCTTACTGAGAACGATCACTAATGGTATCAGGCAAACCCACCCTAACCGAAGCGCGAGTAGCGCAATGCCAATGCCTACTTCAATGGACCGCGCCCAGAATTCATTCAAAGTGACTAGACAGCTGATGATCCGGTCAATATCGGTAGTCATTAGAGTAATTGTGGCCGAACGGTCCCCTAGGGTGCCATCGGGGATGTGTAAGGCATGGTCATAGACCATCGATGAGGCTGCCCCTCGGAACATTGTCACAAACCGATACAGAAGCCGGTCGTGTATGAGGTTTGAGAGGGCCATTCCCAAATATATTAGAAGTGTGGCGCCGATGAGGCCGTAGCCGTTATTGCTCGGGCTCTGTGGGTTATCAAGCCAGTTGAGAATAGATGTGATCAAGCAGGGCTGCGAGAAAGTAAATCCGATCAGGAATAGGCGTGGAAGTATTGTTAGAGCAAGTGGGCCCTTGAACGCTCGACCCATATGCCATGGGAATTCGAAGCGGCGCTCGGGACGTCGGCGTAGAGCCCAGGCTCTCCATGCCTTCTGCGCCGCTCCCGCAGATTCCAGGGGCTTATCAAGAGGATCAAGATCCTCAGTAGTAAGCAAAGATCGAAAGCCAGTGAGAAATAAACGGTTCAGCCACCACATGAACGATCGATTGACAATCCCACTCGTCGACTCTGGAGGAAGATCTTGATAGGAACCAATGAGGCGTTTCTGCTTCCCTAAGCTCTCGAAAAACACCATCACTGTTTTCGCAGCAATACTTGCCGCGAAAAGACCCGGAATCAGGAAATCTCCGTGGGATAACCACAAAGTCCTTGTCTGTACAATATCGAAGAGTAACGTGAAGAGAAGGTAGATGGCGAGGAGTGATGACGGTCTAACCGATCGCTCATCTTCCGCCCAGGTCAAGACCACAATCTCCATTGCCACGGCCAAATTTATTGCACTCGACGACACAGAGAACTTTGTGTTTGGCTGAGCTTTCTTTGCCCAGCTGATGAGCAAGGCAAGTTGAATCGCGGCGAAAGCCAAGGCGGTTATCTGAGATGAAATCAACGTTACCTCGCGGTTTCACTCCACGAGTAGGGATCTGAACGTGCGTACCAGCTTTGCCAACCTCATTATGTGAGGCTGGGTCCGCACATCTCTCTTAACCAGGGTTTGCAATCGAAGAGGACACGCGAGGAGAAATGCAATCGCAGGAACGAGGCCAAGTGTGGCTTGCTCGAACAACAGCGTGAAATCAAAACCATCACGGCAACTGCGATCTATTGCAGGGCCGAAACTGTTGTCAGCCTGGAGCGAGCACCCTGGTGGCATAATGTCGTGTGGCATTCTCTTTACGCCCTTGCTTTTCTTGCAATGAGATAGAGCTAAAGGGAAATTAACATCGGTTTGTAAGCTAACGAACCCCTGTCGCCTATTGCGCAATCGATGCCTTAGCGAGGAGAGTCGTCCATCCTTAATAGCTCCAAGTCATTCGCCGCACGGACTATATGTGGCAGACCAAGGCCCCAATACCAATCTGGCAAGAAGTTGACGTAGGAAAACACTGATGCGATTTGTTGTGAGAACCAGTTGTAGAAGAGGGCGAGCTCGCATAATCAATTTTGGTATCTCCATAGGATAGAGCAAAGCCCAAGATGTCTCTTACGTTGATGCAGTCCTGTGTAGGCCACCATTCGGCTTTTTTCATGAATCAAATTCTATTTGTTCTTTAAATCTTCATTACGTTTCAACTAGCTCAACAACTATGCAGCCAGGATATTCTGGTTGAAGCTACAGTATCCTGCATACGGACTGGAAATCCGCTGATTAATCCGAGTTCCCTTTTATTTTTAGTGTTCGAGATCGTACAGGGCGGAAGCCCGGCGGAGTCCGGTAGACAGCATTGTATGTGGACCAGATTGGACATTGCTTAAATCTATTATACTTGAACTATATACCACTGAATGTTTTAATATGTTGGTATATTGTTTAGATCGAGTCTGGCGCTCTAGATAAGCAAGAAGCCAATGTAAATTGTATCTATCAGTGACATGGACATTCGACTTGCCTGCCTGGCAGCACCACCAAACATTCGAAGGTTTAATCATACAGACAGACCATTGTTTGACTTGCCTTGAGGTTCTCCGGAATAGCATTATTCTAGATATAAAATGAATAAGATACATCATCAAAAAAACATACAACAGGAGGGATTCGCTGGTGGTCACCCACCCAACTACTAACCTCCCGGCGTGTGGCTTAAGTACGGCTGAGCGGACGGGAAGCCCTGTTCTCCACACCCTGTGGTCGTATGTACTTGCTTGCCCTAGGTTGTGAACTATATAGCATGATTTGCATATCTTCAGGCAAAAGCTAGTACAGTAGCGGAGAACAAGCTTGCGGGACATACCAGATTTTGTGGAGAAGATGAGCCGAGATTGACGATCCGATCTCACGGCCCTCTACCTCCTCCAGTACGACCATGGTCCATATGGTAGGCTCAATATACATCACCCGTTGTAACTTGTCTAATCTATCTATTTAGCCCTCCCCTTAAGCCCTCTTTTCTGAATCCGATTCTGCCCCTTTTGGCTCTTTTTCAACTCGATGGTTCAAATTCGGAGCATTCAAATTACTGCACCTTTTGTCTCATCTAAGGATTTCTATGAATTTCTTTCTTAACGGGCAATATTAAAAGTTCTTGTAAAAGTAGGCAAATATTGAGGAGTACCATTACATCGTGCATTTTTCGCTTATCTTAGTTGAGCGTGATTGCAGATCCAACAACTCCCTTCGCTTAAATACATGGGCCCTAAACTTTCTCCTACGTACGTGGCGGCCGAAGTGCATCAAAAAGATGCCTGTGGTGGGACTAGAACATGTTACAGTTCCATACAGCGTAGAATCATTGCGCACGGCTACCTGGCGACTTTGGGATCGGCATACAGTAGAGGCTGGGTGTCTATTATTAGATTGCTTGCTGAGAGCCGACGCTGGATAAATAGGGGGCTTATCACTTAGACACGGATAGAAATGTTTATATCTCTTCTTTGAACTTTCAACCTGGCTTGTGGCTGCTCTTCCTCTACTCTCTTCTATCAACTTCATCTTGGGTAGCGTATACCATGGATTCAATTGCGAAGTAAATCATTTCACCTGACATTGGCACTTAGACAATGGTTGACGCAACAAAACTTGAGAAAGTCCTCCGAGAAGGCGGCAAACGTGGAGTTGAACTCGACGGCCTCTCAGCCATAAATGGTATTTATTTCGCTTAGTACGTACTTTGTCCGTGTGAGAGCCATTCTATTTGGTGCCTATTGCCAGGATATCCGATATACAGAAGATTCAGTGTATGTATCTAGAGATCATTCTTAGCTGACACTTCTATACTACTATCTAGCGCCGCTGTTGATGAGCCGGAGGGCGATCTTGATCTTTTAGCCAAGTCTCTTGAGGCTATGAACGCGGAGCCAGACGAGAGTAAAGAGGAGCGCACCGGTGGTTCTGGTCATATCGGCAAGATGGTCTTCTCTTGTGACAACGAGACACTCTGTGCCATTGCGTATATTCCCGAATCGCTGAAGGGACAGGTATGTGTTCTGTTCCTGCCTGCAACCCTGCACAATCCCTACACACAACCCTTGATAGCTTATAGCCAGTGTGACTGACGGACCGCAAAACACAGGTCGATGCGGCGAACTGGTTAAAGACCATTCTGGCTCCCTACAATGGCATGCTCGTCAAGACCAGTCCAGTTTTCTCCACGGGAACGATCGCCGTTCACCCTGAGAATGGTAAGTCCTCCCGTGAGGTGCGCGCCGAAGCCTGTCACTCGGCCGTCAAGTACCTGCAACAGAAGGGTGTCTACCCCGAAGTCGACGCCGACTCCGACGACGAGAGTACTGGGTTTGAGGCTGCGCAGGCGGAGGCGCTAGATAACTTGTAATGATAGGCTTTGGTAGAACCCACCTGCCCACCGATGGAGCCGATTCTGTTTTCCTCCGTTATATGATATATAGTGAATCGATATTTTCAATGCTCTAGCTCCAACTCGTGACTAGTTAAATCCCTGGAGACAATAAGTCCCGCTATATCGGTGGGTCACTGCAGTCTGTTGTCGATGACGTCACGTGGTGCGATGTGATTATCCGGACAGAATGAGGTTAATTGCAGTCCATTTAGCCACAGCGTAGAGATTTCCCACGCAGGCAAAAAGACGTCGATCATTCCCCTTTCGGTCCAGCGCTGACTCGTGTACAGAATTTTCACGGTGATCAACAACCTCCAGCGACGAAAAAGCGGAGAGCCTCCAGGTTATGGGCTGAGAATTGTGGAGAAAAGCCCACACCCCGGCTGGGCACCGTCTGGCATTTGCTTGTCTTTGATCCCGATGATTCGGAAGAATTTGCCGACGGGTTCCACATAGTGGTATTCTGAACCAGGTCGCTTATATGGAAGAACGGCTTGGAGCTTTGGAAGGGCACTGACTACCTGAAGCCAAGAAACACTACGCTGCATCGTGGATGACGGTCGCTGGACGGTAGTTGCAGCGCTCCACTTACTGCGGCATTTTATTCTGCCATGATAGCACCAATGTTGGGACGTGGGAGACATAAATCCAGCATGCGGGCCGCTGAAAACTCTGTCCCTCTGGACTGAATTTCATAGTCTCTCCGTCAGGTTGTAGCAATGCCGCCCTACTCCTCATATCTGGGCGCTTTCAGCGTCTTTGCGTCGGCCGCTTTGGGCGAGTCGCGATCGTCATGGACTTTGGGACAGGGTATTGAAGTCAATTGGCAGGCGGGTTCCCAACAGCTGTCGATTGTACAGGCTAATAAGACCCTGCTCGCTACCGTCCCTGGCCAGAACTTCCTCAGTGCAAGTGCTGGAAAAGACCAATGGGTCGGTGCGAATGGGAACTTCAACTATACCAACGTGGATCTCAATCGTTGCCAGGGTCAAAATGTCACCGGAATCACTCACTCTCCGCGTGACGATAGTATCAATGGTGAGGATGTGTCCATCCAGGGATACTTGCAACACTGTGGGAATCAGTCTATCGGGTATACCATGAGCTTCTGGGTGCCCAAGGCCCTTCCGGATCGTGTGGCTTTCAACATCAATGTCGAGCCTGGTCACAAGCGCGCCTCTCCAATGAAAAAGCTGTATGTGACCTTTGGTTCCGATGCATCGGAGGACTTTTACGGTCTCGGTGCTCAGGCATCCTTTGCGTCCATGAAGAACCAGACTATCCCCATCTTCACCCGTGAACAGGGTGTGGGTCGTGGCGATCAGCCCATCACTGCGCTTGAAGATTCTCAGAGCTGGTTCAGTGGTGGTAACGAATTCACGACCTATACTGCCATCCCTCAGTACATCAGCTCTGCTGCGAGAGTTTTCTACCTGAGGGAAGAAGACACTGCCTTTGCTGAGTTCGACTTCACTAAACCCAATGCTGTGACGGTGAGATACGATGCCCTGACAGTTGGCGGACATGTGATGCAGGCGGATAATATGCTCAATGCCATCACAATGCTCACCGATTATGTTGGCAAAATGCCTACCTTACCCGAATGGGTTGATCACGGTGCCATCTTGGGTATTCAAGGCGGACAGGAAAAGGTGGAGCGCATCGTTAAAGAGGGTCTGAAGCAGGATTGCCCTGTTGCGGCAGTGTGGCTTCAAGATTGGTATGTTCTTCGAAGGGCTGAGCCAGTTGAAGAAACTGCGCTAACATCTGTAGGTCTGGCACCCACTCTCAAGAAGCACCATACGGCAACATGCAAATTTCTCGTCTCTGGTGGAACTGGGAATCCGACAGCAACCTGTACCCAACCTGGACTGAATTCGTGCAGGACCTTCGTGAGGAATATGGCGTTAAGACCTTGGCCTACATCAATCCCTTCGTTGCCAACGTTAGCTCTAAGGCCGATGGTTACCGTCGCAACCTCTTCCTCGAGGCCACCAAGGGTGGATATATGGTTCAGAATTCGACCACCAACAGCACCGCTATCATCTCCAGTGGCAAGGGAATCCAGGCCGGCATTTTGGATCTTACGAACCAGAAGACACGCTCGTGGTTTGCTGATGTCCTCCGCAAGCAGGTTTGGAACGCCAACATCTCCGGTGTCATGTGGGATTTCGGAGAGTACACTCCCATCACCCCAGAGACCAAACTGGCCAACATCTCTTCGGATGCTTATTTCTACCACAACCAATACCCCCGTGACTGGGCTATCTTCCAGCGCTCTGTGGCTAAAGAAATGCCCCTGTTCGATGAGATGGTCACATTCCACCGTTCTGCCTCGCTCGGCTCTAACCGCCACCTGAACCTGTTCTGGGTCGGAGATCAAACCACCGTCTGGGGCGTCAATGACGGTATCAAATCTGCGGTGACGATCATGGGCCAAATGGGTATTTCCGGCTATGCTCAGAGCCACTCTGACCTCGGTGGCTACACCACCGCCTTCCACCCACCTACCGTGGCCAACTCATCCGGCGCGATTGGACGTTCAGCGAGATCCTCGGACGTTGGGGAGAACTGGCCGCAGTCTCCAGCGCAGTCTTCCGGTCTCACGAAGGCAACGTGCCTGAGGTCAACGCTCAGTTCTACAGCAACAGTTCCACATACTCCTACTACGCATACAACGCACGGATGTTCAAGAGTCTCGGCCCCTACCGCCGTCAGGTTCTGAACACCGAAAGCAAGACCCGCGGCTGGCCTCTCCTGAGAATGCCAGTCCTTTACCACCCCGACGATGCCAAGGCCCGCCAGATCAGCTACCAGAGCTTCTACCTCGGCGCCGATCTTTACGTTGCGCCGGTGCTGGACCCCCAAACTACCAAGTTGAATGTGTATCTGCCCGGCACGGACAGAAACCGCACTTACACCCATGTCTGGTCCGGCAAGACTTACCACGCTGGACAGACAGTGCGTGTTGATGCTCCTTATGGAAAGCCCGCTGTGTTTGTTGTCAACCATGCGCATAGCCCTGAGCTGAATGTCTTTTTGAACTTTGTTCGGAAGGAGAATGGAACTGTCATTCGTGTTTAGATAGTGAGATACCATTACTAAACTATTAGAGAGGCATCAAAAATAGAATATCCAGTTCCTAAGGCTCTATTATCGTGACACTCTATTAGTTTATGGCTGTCATGGTGCCTGATCTGACCTTCTTGGATGTAACATTATGTATACGAGCTCAATACTAGCCTCAGCCTTAGTTTCCTAGTCTTGTCTCTTGGCGCAGCGGTACAGCTTCAGAATGCACTCTAAAGCCATCCCTGCGGCCTTGGTTTGGGGGACAAAGCTTCTCACCATCTTTCAATTCTCAGAGTATAAAGCATTGAGTCGTATTGAAGTGAACACACGATGGTCGTGTGTGCAGTGGTAAAGTCTAACCAACCGACACCACTACTCGTCAGTGACGCCCCTTTAAAGATTCTACAACACTGTGTATCTGCAATAGGAAACAGAAGTACAAAAGAACAAAGCAAATATAAACAAACACCAGTATATAGCTAAAGCTTCTAATCATACCCTTAAACCCACTTGCCGAGTATATCAACAACCGGCCATTGTGGAGCCTCAGTTGCCATTCCTGACGGATTCAGATAGCTTGTCCAAGTAAGGTGCTTATTCAGAACCTAATCTGAGGTCCCTGAACAGATTAGTTCACTAAAGGACCAGCTAGTAGCGAATACCTAGCTTCTATTGGATCACACTCAGCCTCAATTAACTCGGCATGCACGATCTGCATCTAAGCTTGTACTTGATCTCATTGGTCATAGCGTGGATTTTGTATATACATACTCCATACTCTATATTCCATACTCCATACATAGGGGGTTATGCTACGCTAGTTATACTGATCATGGATGATCGGTTTGTTCCCTAGGTTCTTTTGGAGTCCTGTCCCCGATGGGCTGCGGTAGGAAGGCAACGGGCGATTGGGTTCTACTCCGTTTGGATATATTATATCAGGATTGTTGGGTTTCGTTCATGTATCGATAAGTGTTTCAGAGCTCTCCGGTTTGAAGGTCATAAAATGGGGAGATCTGTGGTTATTTCACTTGGAGCACGGCTCTATCACGTCGTGAAGTCGATGTATGGGTTTCTGTTGAAAATGGATTTGAACAGGTCAATGGGGATATGTGTTCAATCAAGTGGAGGTGTTTTGACCAGCTGGTGGCTAAAGATTTTTAGAGCGTCGATGTGATGTTATTGAATTCTTAGTTTTACTGAATTGATTCCACTACATGACACTCTTACGACAAATGCTCAGAAATTGCTTGAACGTGGTATAATGAAATTAATTAACTGGAATATAACAAGGCATCATGGTACAGTCATAACTTTTTCCCAAATCCCAATGCACATTACATTTACTTCTGGTTCTCAGGGCGAAGGGAACGGACGGCCTTTCCAGCGCGCCAGATCTCGAGATCACGGATGTCCTGCATCTCCTTCTCGTACTTCTCGCGGTAGTCCTTCTGGGAGTTGTAGTCCAGAGAACGCTGGGTCTCGGTGCCGTCACGCACGCTGTCGTAGAGCTCGTTGAAGAGGGGCTTGAGGTTGTCCTTGAAGCGGCTGGACCAGTCGAGGGCACCACGACGGGCGGTGGTGGAGCAGGCGGCGTACATCCAGTCCATGCCGTTGGCACCGATCAAGGGGTAGAGAGACTGGGTGGCCTCCTCAACGGTCTCGTTGAAGGCCTCAGAGGGGCTGTGGCCACGCTCACGGAGGACCTCGTACTGGGCGAGGAACATACCGTGGATACCACCCATCAAGCAACCACGCTCACCGTAGAGGTCGGAGTAGACCTCCTTCTCGAAGGTGGTCTCGTAGAGGTAACCGGAACCGACGGCAACACCCATGGCGATGGCCTTCTCCTTGGCCTGGCCGGTGACGTCCTGGTAGACGGCGATGGAGGAGTTGATACCACGGCCCTCACGGAAGAGAGTGCGGACGGTACGGCCGGAGCCCTTGGGGGCAACGAGGATGACGTCAACATCCTTGGGGACCTCGACCTTGGTGAGATCCTTGAAGACGGGGGAGAAACCGTGAGAGAAGTAGAGGGTCTTGCCCTTGGTGATGAGGGGCTTGATGGTGGGCCAGGTCTCACTCTGGGCGGCGTCGGAGAGCAGGTTCATGATGATGGAACCCTTCTCAATGGCGGTGTTGACGTCGAAGAGGTTCTTGCCGGGAACCCAGCCGTCCTGGACGGCCTCCTTCCAGGAAGCACCGTCCTTACGGACACCAACGATGACGTTGAGGCCCTGGTCACGGAGGTTCAGACCCTGACCGTGACCCTGGGAACCGTAACCGATAAGGGCCAGAGTGTCATTCTTGAAGTACTCCTGGAGCTTCTCACGGGGCCAGTCCTCACGCTCGTAGACGGTCTCCTCGTGACCAGCGAAGGAGATGTTCTTGACACCACGGACGGGAGTAGAGGACAGAGTCACACGGGGGAGGGCATTGGCAGCAGCCTTAGCCAGAGCGGGACGAGGGAGGGCGGCGGAGACGACGGAGCGAGGAGCGGCAACACGGGCCAGGCGGAGGGCGCGGGGGAGTCCACGAGCAGCCATTGTGAATTGATATGGAGAAATTGAGGATGGAGGACGGGCGGACGAGGGAAAGAGGGGAGATTGGAATGGGTTTGATAGAAAAAGAGAATGGAGAAGAAGAGAGAAAGGGGAGAGCTGGAGGTGGACGTGACTCGCATTTTAAGCTGGTTGCTGGGGTCGTCGGGGCGACACGTGATCCGGAGTTGCTGCGGACCTCCCCGGCCGATGTCGGATTGGAAGCGTCCTGATTGGCGGGGACAGGGTCGAGCGGGATTATGTCAGCCCTCGATCGGGGCCGTGTTTGTCTTGCGGGAGTCTTCCTTGTAGTCATACAGTCATCCATACTATCAGTCCGCACCTCGTTTCCGTGGAACGCTTGGAGCTGTTCCGCCGAAGTCGAACAATTAGTCTATGACAGAAAGACCCCTGAGACACATGGTGAGTCATGGGCTAGATTCTCCGATCTCGAACCCGTATTTGTTACCCCACGTCTTTGTCTTGCATTGGGGATGTTCTCTCATACTAACTACTACTAGTAGTCCTATACTACTCCGTACACCGTACTTAAAAGCATGGCCCACGCACTAACCCCGAAACAGGCCAACAAACACGATGCCTCAGGTGTCAGGCGGTGACTCTCCACAAAACCATCGCCAACGGGCCATATCATCAGAATTCGCGAGGAACTTTCCTCTCTCTCTGCTGTTAAACTTTTCCCACTGCAGCTGGTAGTCCCCACTCCCCATCGTGATATTTTCTTCTTAGTGGGTAATTTGGGTGATCTGGCAATAGTCCTCTCTTTTATCATTCTGACTATTCCCTATTTTACCCCCACATCCTCGCTATGTGTTGACCATGACTTACTTATCCCGACTCGGTAATATACCTATCATCCAAACCCGGAAAGCGTTGCTTCTCCTGGACTTTCAAAATGACTTTGTGCGACAGTCGGGAGCTCTGTATGTTGCCAACACTGCCGACTACTTGGAAACGCTCCCCCAGTTAGCGAGCGCGTTCCGTCGGACTGGCGAAGTCATCTGGGTACGCACGCAATTTGAGTCGTGCCGACCATGGATCGGCCCAGACGAGCAGGAATATGTCGTGTTGGCCCCCGAGACGGCTACCAAACGACTTCGGTCGGATAAACCCCCAGGCCCAACAAGCGTAGATCCCCAAGCCCCCGTGGATGAGGAGGCTTTTCTGTCGAGCGAAACATCAAAATGTTGTCGCCCGCAGACGCCAGGCGCACAGTTCCCCGCGCCTATTTTAGCCGCCATTGATGCCGAGTCGGACACCCTGGTAGACAAATCGGACTACTCCGCCTTGCAAAGCCAAGGGCTAATTCTGTCCCTCCGCACTCGCTTTGTGACGGAATTGTATCTGTGCGGTTCTCTGTGTAACGCGTCGGTGTATGCCACCGCTCTCGATGCCGTTCGGCACGGCTTCTCCGTCACCCTGATCGAGGATTGCCTTGGTTTCCGCAGCTTCCCCCGCTATGAAGAAGCAATGCGACGCATGGCCGACATATTCGGGGCCAATGGCATTACGACGGAGGAACTCTACGAAGAGCTCGATTGGCAGGAAACCGACGCCATCGCACGCAAAGGCGGAAACAGACCGGTTCGGAATGCTACTTCCTCCGGGATTGAAGGGGTCATGGATGATCTTGACGTCAAGCCCGCCAAACCCGCGAGAATGGAAGAACCCGAACCAATGCCGCGGGTTGCCCCGCCCCGTGGTCTTGACGCCAGTCCCGGTGAAGACCCTCTGGAGGATCATGATGATATTCTAGCTTCGGTGGCTCGTACCCGCCACAGTCGAGCGGCGGAGAAGGCGCAGAAGGCGCGCGTAAAGGCGCGCCGGACGCAACGAGTAGATTCGAAACCCGAATCCACATCGCGCACTGAAGGTCGACGAAGCACGAAGTCCAAACCATCGCGTGATATCCGCAAACCGGGGGATGCGATCGGGGAGGGCGATTCGCGTATCGTCTATGATTTGGATCTTCCCGCCAGTGCTTTTGAACAGATCCGCACGGAGGTAGCCTGGCAGAAAATGTACCACATGTCCGGAGAGGTTCCGCGTCTCGTCGCCGTTCAAGGGCAGCCACTGTCGGATGGCTCCATCCCCATCTATCGTCACCCTGCCGACGAATCGCCGCCATTGCAGCCCTTCACGACCACGGTGGACCGAGTACGCATGATCGTGGAACGCATCCTGCGGCATCCCCTGAACCATGTCCTCATTCAGCTCTACCGTGACGGGCAAGACCGTATCTCAGAGCATTCAGACAAGACTCTGGACATCGTCCGTGGATCATCGATCTGCAATGTCAGCCTTGGCGCGCAGCGGGTGATGGTCCTCCGTAGCAAAGCGCAATCCCAAGAGGCCGAAGAGGGGGAGTCCAGCCGGGCGACACAGCGGGTGCCGATGCCCCATGAATCCCTTTTCATTCTAGGCGAGAAAACCAATATGCGATGGCTCCACGGCATTCGTCCTGACAAACGCGCCGACACGGAGAAGTCCATGGAAGAACGAGCCTACGCAGGCGAGCGAATCTCGCTCACCTTCCGCCACATTGGCACGTTCTTGAACCCCGCCGGCGACACGATCTGGGGTCAGGGAGCTGTGTCCAAAAGTCAGGACCAAGCCAATGCTGTGATCCATGGCGACCCCGCGGAGACGGAGCGGCTCATTCGCGCATTCGGGGAAGAAAATCACGCGATTGACTTTGACTGGGATGCCGTCTACGGGGCAGGGTTCGATGTGGTTAACTTTGTCACTGCGTCGGCGAACAAGCTCGTGGCCGGCGAAGATGTTGTAGCCAATCTGCGAGTGTTGCTCTGTCTGAGCGAGCATGGCATCCGGTACAATCTGGAGACACCCAGCAGCGGGAAGAACGCTGGGCCTTTGTATGTCGATACGGACGGCACCAAGGTTACTGGGGATATCAATATTCTAACCCACTTGACCCAGCGTTCTACGGAGTCAAACCGACCCGGGATAGAGCCATTGCGTGGAGGTGATCGATTCGCGGAGATTGATGAACTCTTGAAGAGCTGGCGTGAGCATCAGAAAGAAGAAGAAGAGGGCCATCTGCGGGCTTTAGATACATGGGAGCGGGCCCTGATTGGCAAGTATTATTTGAACGGGCCCACGTTTGGGCTGGATGACTGTGCACTTTGGCCGGTCTTGAGGGAGATCGTACAAGCCCGTGGTCCATTCTCTGTGAAGGCCTATCGCAACTTGGCCCAGTACTACCAGCGAGTCGAGAACCGTGGCTTTGTCAAGAAATCGCTGGAAGAGTTGAGGTAATCTTAGTTACACGTTGATTCAGACCTATTTCACGATACGAAGTTATGAAGACCATGGCGTACCTATAATGCCGACGGATCTGGAATCTGTCTTTACCCAAATTGTCATTTGGATGCGTGGGTATCGAGAACTATATACATAATACGCTATAGCATATTCCCTGCCAATACACTATTTCGCCACAAGCGTTACCATCTACAGACAGTCGCCCGGGAAATCCGTACTGGTCAAAACATCCTTGAGCGCGACATCACTGCATGCCACCGCTTTCAAGAACGCATCCGCCACGACCTGCGCCCCTTCCGGACTGGTATGGGTGTGGTCATTGGGGTAGTAGGAGTTGACCGTATCCGCCCCTAATGCCTCATACCGGGCGGCCACGTAAGCGCCGTGGTCCACATAGTCCACACCCGCCGTTTCAGCCGCCAACCGAGCGTACTCGACAAAGCGAGACGGCGAATAGACATACTCGCCCGTCTCCCAGACATTGTTCGGGGTCTGGCTAGAGATGAGGACCTTGGCCCCTTTGCCCACGAAGGTCTTGGCCGCGTTCTCCAAGTATGCTGGGAACGTGAAGACGGTTTCCGCTTGGCCGTCGTAGACGGTCTCGCACGTCTCCGAGCCTGTCCCGGGGCAGTCGGTGCGCCCGTTGTCGGTGCTCAGCGAGCCACCGTCGTTGTGTCCGAACTCAATCACCACGTAGTCGCCTTCTTGCAGGACGTCGGCGATGGCGTCGAAGCGGCCTTCGCGGGTATAGGAGCGGGCGCTACGGCCGCCGATCGCTTTGTTGGAGACGGTGACAGATACGTCGTCGACGTAACTTCCCCATCCTGCGTTTGTCAGTTCACATGCCACGCGCGGTGCTATTCGGGGCATTCTCACCGTCAGTGCCTGACCCGCCGCCGCTTGCAGCCATGGTCGAGTCCCCAGCCAGATAGATGGTGGCGCCCAGGACGCCGGGAAGAAGGGAGAGCGGCAACAGGACGGATCTCATGATGGAAATAGAGATATTCTGTAATGAGAGCAGCAGCAGCAGTAGTAGTAGTAGTAGTAGCAAAGTGAAGAATCTATGGACAATCAGCTACAAGCACACGACCAGCTCCAAGCTATTTATACCCAGGGCCAAGGCCACTCATGCCACGGAATATCTACTTGTAGAAACGGAAAAAAGACCCAAGAGTAGAGAACAACTCAAACCCGAAAAGCAAAATAAAAATAAGAATAAAAATAAAAACAGCCACCGACAACCTCCCAATCACCACCACCACCACCACCACCCTCATCTCAGGTACCAAAAGCGTATTGTATCAGCCACGGACCGACGGAAGTTTCACCTCTTCTCCTCCCCAAACACACAACGCCGCAGGAGTAGACCCAACCCCCACACCTCCGTCGCCTGTACATACTAGAAGTTTACTCGGGGTCGATCTTGTCGTACCCCCGTCGTGCATAGATGAACCCGCGGTTCTATTTGTGGGAACAGACGCCCCGTCCCTTTCCCCGCATATATTATTAGTGGAAAACGTGGAAGCTTATCCGCTCCGTGAAGAATTACACAGTACTCACGTTGACGTGCTTTGCCGAACTTGCTCTTTTTGCCCCGCTTTGGGCAACAGAAGGCCCTTGGCTGGTTTTTTCCACCAACGGAGGATTGTTCGGGGATGTGGATGCTCGGTGTGTTTTGGGCCGAGGGGGATGTAAGTACAACTACACACTATACTAGTGGCTATGTGGTGTACGGGGTGTAGGTTGTTTTCGAATAGAGCGGGTGAGGGCGGGATACAATGTCTATCAATAGATCTTGATGTATGGTACAGTACTATCTGTCTAGTCCCATGCAATATACCCCCGATATAGGTATCGATGTACAGCAGCATCGATGGTAAATTACAACTTCGCAAACGTAGGCTTCCTCTTCTGGATTCCCGACAACAACGCCGCACTGACATCCTTCGTCTGCAGCGCAGCGCTGTTCCAGACACTCGTATACCGAAGACCTAAGTAGCAAGTCAGCACAACTTCACAAACCCTACCCAACCAGCACCAACGCAACAGCAAGAGAGACATATTATCCAAAAAAAAAAAAAGAAAAAGAAGAAAAAAAAAGAAAAAAAGGGAAAGGAAAGGAAAAGTAAAGGGAAAAGAAAACCTACCATCCTCCACACTTCGATCCCGACTCCAATTCAAAATATCCTTCGTCCCAAGCACAGCAACCGGACTCTTACTAGCAATCAACCCAGCAGTCTCCAACGCCCCCTTCACCACTTCCTCCTTATTGCCAAACACCCGACTAACAAATCCAACCTGCAGCGCCTCCTCGGCCCCAAACATCCTCGCACTCAGCGCCACCTCCTTCACCCACCCGAAATTCCCCACGACCTTGGGCAACCGACTCAGCGTCCCGATATCCGCCGCCAGACCGATATCCACCTCCTTCACGGCGAACTTGGTGTCCGCGGCACAGAGCCGGACATCGGCCGCCGTGGCGATGTCGACCGCCAGACCGAGAGCGAAGCCGTGCATGGCCACAATGACGGGTTTCTCGCAGCGCTCAATAGCCGAGATGCAATCCTGGAAGGAGGCGATGTGGCGGCGCAGGTGGAAGGCTTTGCGAGCGGGATCTGCTTGACTGTCGTCATCCGAGGAGAGGAGGCCCTGGCTGGCGGCTTTGACGTCCAGTCCGGCTGTGAAGGCCTTGGGGCCGGCGCCGGAGAGGACGATGGCTCTGACAGTTGGGGAGTGAGAGAGGTGGGTGAAGATTGTGTGGAGTTCGAGCCACATTCTTTGTGTTTTCCGTGTGTGGTTAGCTTTTGGGCAGGGTTTATGGGGTTGGGCGGTGGGTTGGAGTTACGCTTCAAAGAAGGAGTTCATTTTGTCGGCGCGGTTGATTTCGACATGCGCAACATGTTCTTGGGGGTAGGTTATGTTGAAGTATTTGGGGTTTAGGGGGGTCGTCATTTTGGATTGCTGGTTTGGACTCTGGATTTGGTTTGTTGTGCTGGGTATAAGGGGTTTTTGGTGTTGTGGGTGATATCGAGGGTAGGTAGGGTTGACGATTGGACTGTACAACGAATGATTTGGATTGGGTATACTGATATGTACAACAATATGGGTATATGCAGGGCAAGAATTAGAGAACGTGGAATGAAGATGAAGATGTTCTAATCTCATCTGATAACCGTCGGTTGACCTTCACATGCCTCGGTTCACGGAAATGGTCCAGGTTTCGTGGCCATAGCCATGGATCGGGCATTCCTTTAGGGTATTACTCAATCCAGTAGACGTGGTATAGTTAAACTCTCATAGTGTGTCATGTGTAGGCTGTTCATGTTCCTGTTGTTCTGTGTATGGATATTTATTGTGTCTTAACCTTGTTGACTTCCTTTGCGTTGGATTAGGGAGGGGAAATGCACATGATGTCATTTGATCACATAATCATTGGAGCAGCTTGGCATCTTCGTGGCTTAGTCAGATGTGTATACTTCGTCTGTTCCTACGACTGGTGCGCCTCCGTTTGGAGAGCTTTACTGGAGAGAGATTCAAATAGGGAATTAATTAAGACACTGAACTAATAAGTACAAACGAGGCAGAATTAAGAAATGCCAGCAAATCCATCATCCACCGCCATCACGCTCCAGAAGAGTCAAAGGAATGAAAACGAATCAACATCTTCAGCTTCAACGACTAAGGTAGACCTTTTTTTTTTTTTTCTTCTTTTTTCGATCGAATTAAATAAAGAGTCAAACGGGAAATTATCACTGTCGGCGATGCTCAAATTGATTGCTCAACTCCCATGCTGGGTCGTAACTCGTCTCATCTCGCGGCTCGTTTACTCGATGGTGATCTTCTTGCCGGTGTAAGCAGCAGCCTTGGGCACAACCAAGGACAAGATGCCGTTCTTAAGGCTGGCCTTGACGTTTTCCTGGTCCACGCGAGACGGGAAAGTGAAGGTGCGGTGGAATTCGCCCACGGAGCGCTCGCTGACCCAGAAGCGAGGCTTGTCCTCGGCCTTGATCACTTCCTTGCTCTCGCCCTGCGCCTCCTTAGTTTCGCCGGCCTCAGGGGAGTGGGATTCGCGCTCGGAGCGACCCTTGATCACGAGGGTCTGCGGGTCAGAGAATTCAATGTCGATGTCCTTCTGAGCAATGCCAGGGAGTTCACCGTCGAAGTGGTAGGCATCGTCGGTCTCGCGGACGTCGAAGCGAGGTGCGAAGGAGCGCACGCTGGACACCTGGCTACGGCTCTGGCAGTGTGTGTCGTAGTCGTCCAGGAGACGGAAGAGAGGGGCAAAGTCGCCAGTGGTAGGCATGGTTCTGAAGAGAGACATCTTGGTGCTTTGTTGAGGTAGAGTGTTTAGAAGAGTAAGTAGAGGCAGGTTTGTTTTGGTAGAAGTAGTAGTGGCAGAAGTGTTTGGTTTGTAATCGATTGCTGTTGTATTCTTGTGTTTGATTGCTGTTGTTCTGATGAAGAGAAGTGCAACTAGACGAGGCCTTAAGCCCCCTTATATCTCTTGCCAGCCATGTTCCAGAAACTGCGATTCACCAGCAGCTGACGTGCTGGTGGCATCACTTCAGGATGGCCCTGGACGGTGCCTGGGGTGTCGAGTACTTTCGCGCTTCCACTGGGCGCCTCTGGTTGGTGCGGGAGCCTTCTGGGCGTTTCGATGCGATCACGTGATGGCGATCGCCGTTGGAACAGCTGCGCTTCCCCAGGTGGATCCGCCCGGCTAGACCCTTGACCCTTAGATATCCATACCTTCAATCATACGATGTCTGCAGTGACATCCAATTTGATTGGCTGTTAGACCCTCTCGACAGCGATTCGTAATTTGGATATCTAGAAAATACTATACACATTTCGCACTCGTCACCTGGTTCTGGACACTTCCACAGGACTGAAAAGCAGGGAATCCCACGCCAGGTCAATACTATAGAAGGATCTTCTATACGTCAACTGCAGTTCTATGCGAGCACTAATCAAGTAACAATCAATGCGTTTGGCGAGCTTGGAGCTCCTCAACCTTTCTCTTGATGCCGGTCCGAGACTGTGGTGGGAAGCACTGAGCCCATCTTTGCCACTTCCTTGGACCAAATCTTCCTTGGGTATCAACCCTGTCGGCCAGGCCGAGTCATTGGCCGATTACACAATGGATACGTGGCACCTCGTAAATTCAGCATGTGGCGGTGTTCTCTTTCGATCTTGGTAGTCGTAGAACGGTCGCGGTGTCGTACAACACTTCGGATCCTCCTCATCTACCCCCCCCCCCCCCGGCCCGGAGGATAACGACGAAAAGATGGCGTCGATATGAATACGATGGGGTGGAAATATATCGAAATATCCAAGAAACTCATTCGTCGGATTCCGACTCATCGGGTTGCATAACCTTTTCATCGAGTTCCTGCGTGTCGTCAGTATAGTGACCAACCGAGCCGTCTTCTGAAGCATACTCTTCCCAGCCGGATCTTCAGGTTCTGCAGTTGGCTCTCCTTGATAACCAGGTGGCGGTCATCATCCAGGTCTTCCACGATGTAGTCATGCCTTTCTTCGTCGTACTTCAGGATAATGGCTTTCACGGACGGATCGCATTCGATCAGGACTCCTGTCGGAGCCGCATGTTAGCTCGATCGCAAGGGATGATAGAAGTCGTGTGCGCATACCTCGAACAGCACGGGGCATTTTGGTGGGTTGTAGAGCGGTACAAATCCAGTAGTTGGTCAAGCGGGCGCGTAAATGTGTAGCAAGCCACAAAAGCGATAAGAGGTCACGATGATTGCGGAGAAAATCTGCAGAACATCTTCCACTTACCGCCAAGGCCTTGTCAGGCACCAAGGCAGCGAGACTATCAGATGGACTCCCGTTCTGTAGAGACATATTCTAACCAGCGAGATCCGGATTTCGAATGATAAAGATACGTTGTTGGGAGTTACTTGTCTATAGATTACTTCGGTATTGCTTGCTGTACCGGAATTCTCCGATATCTGCCATGTTGGTTGTAGTGGATGCAAAATAGAGTGGAATGGCCTATGGCAAGATATATATCTTGGGGTAATGATCAGGGTACCATAGAAGACTACCAGTTGTCACACCGCAGAGCCTTGTATATGGCTTACGAGTCATTTTAACCATATAGCACATGTTTAACAAACATACTTAACAAGAAAATACCCCTCTAACCCTTTTATGGCTCATAAAAGCTTATGTGGAAGAGTCAAGTCAGTCGTGTGTCTCTTTAATTGTAAGCTAGCTTGATATTCTTAACTAAGTAACAGATATTCAACAATTGGCCGGATGGTGTAGTTGGTTATCACGTATCGTTAACACCGATAAGGTCCTGGGATCGAGCCCCAGTCTGGTCATTGCTTTTTACTTTTTACTAAAAAAAAAGTAATTTTTACTGCTAGTCCACGCATCTTCTTTCTAGTTTGCTGTTTTGTTTCTCTTGCTTTTTATTTTATCCTACTACTTCAACCCATCTCGTTTCCGTAACCCAGCTCTCTGCCCCTGGTATATCCTATCATCTTGGCACTTGCCAACCCCGTTGTTGATCCTTGATTATCTTATCTCCGGCCCTGATTATAAATGCATATCTACCCGGCGCCGTCCAGTAGTGCTTATTTAAGGCCGGAGTATTTGTGCATATTTCCCCAGACAAGCACGTGTGAATTCTCTTGTTGCACGTCATCTCAATTGGCAGTGATATGTGCCCAATTGAGGGGAAATTCAAGACCTTCTTCCTAATCACCTTCTAGTCTTCTAGAGCCTTATACCATGGTTGCTGAACAACATACGGAGGAATTGCCCTCAGAGGCAACCTCTCTTCTCAACAATTCGCCCGCCGAGCTAGACGAGAACAATGTCCCTATCTCATTCACCAGAGGCTTTACAATTGTGTCGGCAATGGGACTTCTCCTCTTCACACAAGGTATTCCCGACTTAGCATGCAACCACCTTGGGCTTGTAAATGACCGAGCCCCTTCATAGCTACCAACATGTCCATGATGACAACGGCCCAGTCGGATATTGCAGCAGATCTAGATGCGTTTTCAGAAACAACATGGTTTACTTCAGCTTATCTAGTATGTTAAACTCACTATAATAGCTTGTGCAGAGTCCCTGAGTTAACCCGCCTTTGTCGGTAGATAGCACTGTCTAGTGTCACCCCGCTTGCTGGTCGACTTTCCCAAATATTTACTCCCCGTGTATACGTTCTCTTCTCTTGCGTGCTTCTATCGATAGGCCTTTTTATCACCGCAGCAGCTGGAAATCTAACCGTCTTCCTTCTGGGGCGGGCACTTACTGGGTGTGGAGGCGGCGGTATAATGGTCACAACGATAATCCTTACACTGGACCTGACCAGCAAAAAGCGGAGAGGGTTATACATTGGGCTGATCAATGTCGGCATGACAACCGGTGTCTCTACCGGTGCGGTGCTGGCCGGGTTATTAACGCCAGCTTTTGGATGGGTACGTTGCCCTAAATACTATCTCCAAGGACTCTCACTAAAAATTCTACCAGCGCATTATCTTCTGGTTTCAAGCGCCGCTTTGCTTCATTCTGGGCCCGATTCAGTACCTTGCGATCCCCCCTAGTTCAACGGACAATGAGCCCCTCTGGGGTCGTGCCTTGGTACAGAAGCTGGCTAAAGTCGACTATGGCGGGGCCTTAGTTTTGGTAAGAACAGGTCGGCGAGCTAACGTGGTAGCAGCCGCTGACTGTCCATAGAGTATCTCCGTCTTCTTGCTGCTCTTCAGCTTTGCCTCACCAGAGATTCAACTTGTACCGTTGGTCTTGTGCCTCGTCCCTTTCGCCGTATTCTTGTTGATTGAATCCCGATTTACGTCGGAGCCCATCATCCCGGTTGAAGTCCTTGGCATGCGAAGTGTTGTTTTGACCTGTCTCTCAGGCCTTGCTTCAATGATGGCCCGCTGGTCAGTTCTCTTCTTCACACCCGTGTACGCAATGGTCGTCCGAAACTGGTCCCCGGCTTCTGCCGGCCTGATCTTAGTACCGACAAATGCTGGTTTTGGTCTCGGGGGTCTTCTGGTAGGCTGGTTGCATATTCGCAAAACCGGAAGTTACTATATGTGAGGGTTACCGACTCATGTCTTGCTGCTACCACCCCCGCTGACTCGTTCTTCCAACACAAATAGTTCGAATATCATCGCATTCCTGTTGTTTGCACTGGCGAACCTTGTCCTCGCAATTCTCTCAACACCTTCCTCGCCTACTATCGCCTATCTGGCCGTGACCTTCTTCGACGGTCTTGCGGCCGGCGCTTTGATGAACTACAGCTTATCCCATCTACTGCATCTCACCCAACCAGACGTGCATTATGTTGTGAGCGCCCTGATCGCTATGTCGAGAGGCTTCGCGGGAAGCTTTGGCTCTGCCATTGGCGGAGGATTCTTCCAACGCCAGTTGAAAACATCCTTGGAGACCGGCTTCGCAACCCATGGCCTACCAGAACGGGGTGAACTTATCCGCAAGCTGCTCGGTAGCCCGGCCATGGTAAAGGGATTGACTGGGGTTGAAAGGTTAGTCGCGGTACAGAGCTATGAACAAGCGGTGAAAACGCTGCTGCTGGGGAGCTGCGTTCTGGCCCTGGCAGCAACAGTCGCCCAAGCAGGCACAGGCTGGAGGCCTGCCCGGGATGATGGAAAAGTACGAGATGATCTAGAGGACATTGTAGACCGGGAGTAGAATCCTGTTCTTTTTTCTTTTTTGAAGACTGTATATATTGCCACGAATGTGTTTCTCCGTGGGTAATTTATGTCTGTTCAGGGTAGCTGGAAACATGTCATCCCTTCGTATAGTGGCGAAACCTGTCCAAGCTGTACACAAAGGTAGTTATACTGAAGCATATAATGCATAGCCATAAAGTGTGTGTGATCACAGAAAGTACAGAGAAGGTGATCAAAGTCCATAGAAAGGTACCCAAGCTAACCGTCTACTCGACACAGGTTAGGTCAAGTCGGGTGCTATGACACAACCACACCCGAATGAGTGTATGCTGGTAGAACGGAGTTGATTGTGATGCCACATGCCTGCATGACATGTACCCATGGGAAAATATTGGAGTACATTCGACCAAGGTACTGTGGATGGCGATTTGTATGGATTACATTATCTCGGCGGATGGTATCCGCAAAATCTGATTATTACAATCTCAACATCAATCTCGGCTCAACGGTTTCTTCTCCTCCCCTCCTTGGGTTCCCATATGAAAGGGAATAGACCTTGAAATGATAAATAAAGTCCTGCAATACATAGTCGCCCAGCGCCAGTAATCCGTAACCTAGAATTCTGAGTCCTTTAGACCTACCGACAACATGCTCTCGATTAGCAACATGGCTGATTTCAGCATAACACCTGCATACCTTCTAATTGCGGCGGCAGTATTGCTACCATATCTGCTTCTCGTGAAGCGCCTTCGCTTTCAACGTGCCCGCAAAATCGAGGCGAAGTTCAACGGGCGTCCTCTGTCCAGCATGACCGTGAAGGAAGCCCATGAGATCTTCCGTGAACTGCGAGAACTGGAGTTCCCGTACACCCTACACAGCGCCATGAAGCTATCGTTGTTGAAAGTGAGTCTTCTTGAATGAGGACATGTCGGGAGTTGAAGCTAATGCAAGGGTCAAGACCGGATCGATTCCTACAATGACCAAGTTGTTCGTCGCCACTCGCCAGCTCAACGAGAAAAATGCGTCCAAACGGGCTGCGGATACCGAAGTGGTCCTCAATGAGGTTCATGACAGGGAGCCTGGCTCTGAGTCTCATCTAATGGGAATTGCACGGATGAACTACCTGCATGCTCGGTATCGCAAGGCGGGTAAAATCCTGGACGAAGATATGCTGCATACCCTTGGCTCTGCGGTTGTGGATATCGTCAGGGGTGTCGATAGGAATGAATGGCGTCGGTTGACGGATGTAGAGAGATGTGCCATTGGCGTGTTCCATAAAGCTCTGGGTGATGCTATGGAGATCCCGTTCGCATTCCTTCCTTCTCATAAGACTGGTTGGAAGGACGGGATGCACTTCGCCCAGGAAATCTATGACTGGACGCTGGCATATGAGAAGGTGGCAGCTCAACCGACAGATTCGACGCGGTACATTGGTCGGAGATTGATGGAATTGGCCAAATGCAATATGCCTGCGCCGTTGAAGCCATTGATCGAAAGCGTTGTCGTCACCAAATTAGAAGAACACAGCAGAATAAGTATGGGGTAAGTCTTTTGAGTCTGATCTCTTCGTTAGAGCCATTTGCTAACCTCAGGTGAAGGTTCGAAAAGCCAGGCATTCTCGTCTCTACATTCGCAAAGAGTATTTTGGTAGTGCGGAAGGTTATACTGCGTTATCTAAGCTTGCCGAGACCGGATTCCAAAGCTGTGCATGTCTTGAGTGATTCCCCCGACCCGACTACGGGGCTGTATACATGGAATCTCTGGATCGAGCATCCATGGTATATTAAACCCAGCTTTAAGTACCGATGGGGACCAAAGGCTCTCCTAGTACGACTCTTTGGGAATGGGGCTATTCCTTCAGAGACTGACTCGTACAAGGAGTCAGGGTACGACCTGCGGACCATTGGCCCGGTAGCACAGGAGAAAAGAGGGCAGGATGAGATGGAGGCTATTTTTCAGAGCTTGAAAGGAACAAACTATGCTGCTGGATGCCCT